GCGTGCGTGCGTGTGCGTGCGTGTGTGTGTGCGTGCGTGCGTGCATGCGTGTGCGTGTGTGTGTGTGTGTGTGTGTGTGTGTGCGTGCATGCGTGTGCGTGCGTGTTTGTGTGTGTGCGTGCGTGTGTGCATGTGTGTGTGCGCGTGTGTGCGTGTGTGTGCGCGCATGTGTGTGCGTGCGTGCATGTGTGTGCGTGTGTGTGTGTGTGCGCGCGCGCGTGTGTGTGTGTGTGTGCATGTGTGTGTGTGCGTTTGTGCGCGCGCGCGTGTGTGTGTGTGCGCGCGTGTGTGTGCGTGCGTGCATGTGTGTGCGTGTGTGTGTGCGCGCGCGTGTGTGTGTGTGCGTGTGTGCGCGCGTGTGTGTGTGTATGCATGTGTGTGTGTGTGTGTGTGTGTATGCATGTGTGTGTGTGTGTGTGTGTGTATGCATGTGTGTGTGTGTGTATGTGTGTGTATGCATGTGTGTGTGTGTGTGTGTGTGTAGTGTATGGCGTGCGGTCCTGGGAATAGGGGCCGGTGTGTGGGCCCCAGGATCTGCTGTGGAGCCGGGCTCGGGTGTCTGCTCGGGTCCCCAGAGACGCTGAACTGCATGGAGGAGAATCTGCTGCCCGGAGCCTGTGAGTCGAGCGGGTCGCCCTGCGGGGCCGAAGGGGGCCTGTGTGCCGCTCCGGGGGTCTGCTGCCACTCGGGTGAGCAAAACACTGAGAGCATGAGACACATCACGCACACAGGGCCCTATTTTAACGATCTAAAGCGCACGGCGCAAGTGCACTTATAGCATGTCTGAATTTCATGTCGTCTCAATTCTCTTAATGAGTAATGGGTGTGTTTTGGGCGCCACATCCAATAAACCAACCAGAGTCAGCTCAAAATATCTCACATTGTGTGTCTTTGCCGACCTCTTGTGGAAAATAATAATATAAGATGATATTTCATGACTCTAGATGGCCTTATATCTCTATATTGAGTAAATGAGCTGTTCCTCTGGGTCCTAAAGCCAGTTTCTCTTCAGTGTGCATTCAGACACACATGTAGACAGTATAAAATAATTTTTTGGTAAAGTTGTAGCATTTTTAGTTTGAATTCTGAGCATTTTTTTGTTTTTCTGTGTGAACTGAAGCATTCCTCGCATTCAATTCATTCCTAAGGGGGTCGATTTGACCCGAGAGGGAAGGATTCGTTACTTTTTTAAATTTCAACCACAAAACTCCTCGAATCCGTAAAAAAAAAAATGTTTTGAGTGTATTCGTGGTTCAATTGCGACAAAAGGTCATTATAGGGGCTTGGACCCCTCTGATGAACACTATATATTTTCCGGGTCAAAATGACCCGATGGAAGGATGAGGATTAAACATCGTGGCGCAGGACGTGAAAATGAAAGTTGCGTCGGGCTGAAACTAGCAAAATAGTTTTACACAGTCCCTTTAAGCCTTTACACAGTCCCACATCACAGATTCTCCGACAGATTAAGCTAATGCATGTGGTTTATCCGGCAGAGGGATGTTCCCTGGATCCAGAATGTTCTGAAGACGTCCGGTTTCTCCCGGCTGAAGACGGCGTTGGACTGAAGAGTGTTTCGGGAGAAATGCTTCTGCATCTGTTGAATCTGGCCTCGAGGAGACAGAGACCCTTCTGATCGTGATCTGTGTCTGTAACTCACTCACACGTGTTGCTCAACTTATACATACTGTATGTAGTAAACGGATGTGAACGTGAATCTGGTTTGTCATCGCAGTTCTCTTACTCATGTTATCGTAAGCACTTTGGGTCGAGTTCATTGTCCCAAAAGCAGCATGACCTGTTACTGCCTTTGTATGGATATAAAACAGATATTTAATACTCACTTAGCATTGAAAGCCTGTGGGCTTTTCTGGAAGCTCCTGTTGATCCTCTAACTGTCTTTGGCAGATCCTGACAATCAGGTTTGAAACTATTTTATGGTCTAAACATAAATCAAGTGCACAGGATACTTAACTTTATGCTTTAATCACTTAAAAAAAAAATCTAATGCATTCAAATGTTGTACCACAAACATCAGAAAAGGACAAAAAGTGTTGCATGCTAAAGAAAAAGAAACTCAATGAAAGAAGCATGAAAGAATTAAAGCTAAACACATGCAGCCTGTTTCAGTTTGACAAGATATGCTTTTGTTCCACTGCAAACATACATTAAATACAGAATATATATATATGAAGGAGTATAGAAACAAAATCTTGTTTTTAAGCAATAAATCCACTAAAAACACCAGTGATGGGCTGTTCGAAATGCCCCCTATACCTGTATGATATTACACTGTACCCACATTGGACCCGCGGTTTGGAAAATGCATGGATGGGTGATTCAGCTTCAGCGCCATCTTCTGGCAAGTCCTCACAGTGCATTATGGGTATTCTTCTGGTGAGACGTGGGAATTTATTCGGTGCCATATGTATCCATAATAAAGGCTAGATGTCTCGTCCGCGCTGCTGGCCAATGGAGGTCGACGTCCACACTGGCGGCCATCTTGCCACAGGCAGCTCGCTCACTCGTAACATTGTGTTTTAATGGTGCATGTACTTTTTAAATAACCATAACTTGCTCAATTTTCTACCGATTTTCAAACGGTTTGGTTTGTTATAAACGTCAGAGATGTAGTTATGACACTGCACACTTATGAATAATACGTGTATCAATAAATAATCATCCAGAATTATAGCCACGTTAATAACGTTTGTAAGAAACCAAACCGTTTGTAAATCCGTCAAGATTTCGACGAGATAAGAGTATTTGTGTTCGTGCCGATCACTCATCTTACATCAGGCACCACAGAGCCCGCCAGAAAGCTTGCCTGTGACAAGATGGCCGCCGGTGATGACGATAGAGACTCCGCCGTAAGACATCTATAGCCTTTATTATGGATATTTATGTTCGGTGCAACCATCACAGTGCATTATGGGTATTCTCTAGCCGTTGAGCGTATATGGATTATACACTCCTTTATTGCATTGTGGATGAAACAAAAAAATGAGCTTTTTTGGCAGCAAACACTTAATATGGGGATAAAAAAAAAGTACCCCATGTGTAAAATAAAATACTCTAATGTATCTTTAATGCTGTGGGCCTAATTTTCTGCCAGAGGTCCTGGACATCTTGTTCAGAGACATGGCATCATGGATTCAATCAAATACCAACAGATATAAAATCAAAACCTGACAGCCTCTGCTAGAAATCTTATAACGGGCCGTGTTTGGATCTTCAACAGGACAGGGATGCAAAAACAAACATCAAAATCAAAACAAAAATGTGTCACTGAGCACAAAACCAGCGTCTGCAATGGCCGTCCCAGTCCCTGACCCGATCCCGAGGCTGAACTGAGGAGGAGAAGCGCTGACATGGATCTGGGAATCTGCAGGATCTGGAGAGCTTCTGTATGGAGGAATGGTCTCTGATCTCCCGTCAGGTGTTCTCCAAACCCTCCCGGCATTACAGGAGAAGAGTTGTTATGAAAAAGGAGTTTTCAAAAAGTATTTAAAGTCCCTGTAAAGGCAATAAAAAATAAATAAAAAATCTAAACACATTATAAATGTTATAAATATATTGCTAAAACACATTACAAAGACTGTGAACTGTAAAGTACTGAATTGTGGAGTTAGACCGTTAAACAGTTTTTTTTTTGTGTTGATTCTGGATTTTTTGGGCGGGGCTAAAACGGGGGCTCGATGACGCACTGGAGCCACTGAGCTCATGGCCCCGCCCCTTCTGTCGATGACGCACTGGAGCCACTGACCCTGGCCCCGCCCCTAACAATATAACTACTAGAACACATTCGCATGAGTTCGCCTCTCAATCGCGAGTTACTGTCACTCACTATTAGTTACTGCTGCCTACAGTTGGCTAGCTAGCTATGCCTTCCTCACGGAAATGCGTATAACCTGGATGCCATCACTTACAAAACAGATCGGTGTCCTTATTTAAATAAAATAAAAAACGATCACATCAAGAAGAGGTGGATTCATTTTGTGAAGAGCCACCTTGATGGAGTGCTGAGGATCACCCGCCTCTGTACTGATCATTTTACACGGGATAGTTTTATAAACTTTCGTCGGAGACAACTGGGATTTACTGATAATCCGATGTTACTGGTGAATGAGGCCGAACCGACTATCTCCCGCCTCGGCCTTCATCTCCCCGTGGTTTCGGCGCAACCATCGGACACGCCCCTTCACGGTGGACACGCCCCCGGTAGACACACCCCTCCCCGGCGGACACGCCCCCAGCGTTTGAGAGCAGAGAATACTGCTCATTTCCTCAAGATTTTGATAGCTTATTTTATGTACTTGGCAGATTTTTTTTTTTCATTCAAATTTGGCTGGGTGGCTAATAACACATTTTACTGTGATGTGACAAACTCAGAACACATACTTCATTTTGACTTTACAGGGACTTTAATAAAAGGGGGCAAAAACATTTTCCCAATGTGTTTTTGGAGAAATTTTCCCCCCACTTTCAATTCTTTTATTTCAATGAAAGGTTAGATTTCTGCAAATATTTTAAATAAAATATCAAAAGGATTAACAATGCAGATTTATTCTTTTACAGCCATTTTGATCATATTTATACCAAGGGGGCAAATAATTCTGCCCAGCACTGTATGTATTTCGTCCAGATGTATTTTCTCACATTTATTTGAGTGCATCCTTTAAGAGGATGTCTATTATTCCATGGCAAAAAAATAAACAAATTAAGTTTTGGATATGATTTTCACATTCTAAAGTGCAGGATTTCCTGGAAGGTCAAAAGTGAAACAATATTAAAAAAGAAAGTAGCAGAAAACAGACAAGCTGGAACATATACAACACAATTACTGCGACACACCCCGAGACACACATGACAGGTGACCGTAACAAATCAACACACACACCTGAGAAACTCATAAACACACATCATTTTACTTTATGTGCTCGTGTCACGCATAACCTATTAACCTCACCTGAACGCAGGTGGAAATTAAGATTGTGCTGCAGGGGAATGTTTCATATAAAAGATATTTCATAATGGATTTGTATAGAGTGTTTTCTTTGGTGTGATGTATGAGTTCAGACAGGCCAGGTGATGATGCGGGCGGAACAGGACTTGCGTAAGTGTGTTTAAATGATCTTTCTGTCTTCATTCACTGTCACTGATGTTTCCACGATGGAGCTGAAAGCCACTTCTCTCCTTCTGCTCACGTGTGTCGCCATCATCATCCTCACCGAAGGTCAGAACTGCCGATATTAGACAAAACATGATGTTCTTCCTCAGTGTTTCTGTCTGGTTTTCCAGCACAAATATCTAAGCATTCTTAAATCAAGAAACTACGGAAGCGTATTGCATTCACTTGAGGAAAAAAATCTACTCTGTTTTTCTGAATTAACGAGTTAATTATCTCAGAATTACGAGATCATTTTTCATGAAAAAAACGTTTTTGCTCTGTTTTTCTGAATTAACGAGTTAATTATCTCAAAATTACGAGATAATTTTTAATGGAAAAAAGTTTTTGCTCTGTTTTTCTGAATTAACGAGTTAATTATCTCAGAATTACGAGATAATTTTTCATGGGAAAAAGTTTTTGCTCTGTTTTTCTGAATTAACGAGTTAATTATCTCAGAATTATGAGATAATTTTTCATGGGAAAAAGTTTTTGCTCTGTTTTTCTGAATTAACGAGTTAATTATCTCAGAATTATGAGATAATTTTTCATGGAAAAACGTTTTTGCTCTGTTTTTCTGAATTAAGAGAGATAATTAACTCGTTAATTCAGAAAAACAGAGTAGATTTTTTTTCTTCAAGTGAATGCAATACACTTCTGTAAGATACATTTACTGGAGAAGCAAAAAAAAGTCTTGTTTAATGAAAAACTGATGAAAATGAAGTGAGTTTGTGCTTAAAAAAAACAAGCAAAATGTCTGTCAAAGGGGTCAGATTATTATTATTATTATTTTTTCTCTGACTCCATTGGCAGATATTTGTACAAACTCACTTCATTTGGACATATTTTTGATTAATATCTTTTATGTCTTAATATCTTCAGTCATTTTCTTCTCTAATGTATCTTGATTTAATAATGTTTAGATATTCATGCTGGAAAATAAGACAGAAAAGACAGATTTTTTCCTCTTTCTGCTCTCTTGTAATATGTAATTCTGACTTCTATTAAATGTTTAGTGCATTTTACTACATTCACATGTATGCATTTGTTGCTTTTATGCAAAGTGACGTACATTAATGCAATGCATTTTTTAAATGAAAAACTGATAAAAATGAAGCGAGTTTGTGCTTAAAACAAAGAAGCAAAATGTGTCAATGGGGTCAGAAAAAACACGTATTTTCCATTTGAATTAAGTTTATTTTTCTCTCTCCATTGGCAGATATTTGTTCTTGTTTTAAGCACAAACTCACTTCATTTTTTATTATGTTATTTTGAAAGATTTTTCCTCTTTCTGCTCTCTTGTAATATGTAGACTTCTATTAAACGTTTAGTGCAGTTCACATTCATGCCTTTGTTGCTCTTATCCAAAGTAACGCACATTAATGCATTGTGCACATGTTTCTTCAATTAAGCTCATGGCCTGGGAATCGAGCCCATGATGCTCTACTGTTTGAATAGTACATGTCATTATTAAGCTTCTGTAAGTCATAAATACGCAGTAAAATGTGTCGTAACATGCATCGCTCTGAGCCGCGGAAAATATAAATCATGCCCTCTATCATTAAAACGTGTCTGTGTTTGTCATTCTTGTTTTCTGAGCTGAAAAATGTTGTTGTTGAAACAGTATTATATTGACATGAACAGATGTTCAATAGAAGATCCTGCTTTTTGTTCCAGCTAGTACCAATGCCATTCCCACATGCTGTCTGGCTGTGACCGGGAAAATCCCACGGCAGAAACTGCATCATGTCAAGAGATACGACACACAGAGCAGATCTGGCCGCTGTGAGATCGATGCACTGATGTGAGTGTTTATCCTTCACACACATCTGCAAAATCACCCTTAGCCCTCAAATTATACTTCTTTTTTTCGTCAAGAAAGCTTATTTTATTTCATTTTGATCATATTTCTTCTATTATTTTATTGGATATTTTTTGTTATTTTTTATTTACCTTTAAATTACTAGATTTGACCAATACATAATAAATAAATAGTAATTTAAGCAGATTCCTTACTTAAATTAAAAAAATAACTTAAAGTAAAAAAATAACTCACAAATTCATGCATAACTATGGAAGCTTGTTTCCGCCACTGAATAAAAAATAAAAAAGCGACTTTTTATCTCACAATTGCGAGAAGTCAGAATTCTGATAAATAAAGTCGCAATTGCGAGATATAAAGTCGCAATTCTGAGATATATAGTCGCAATTGCGAGATATAAAGTCGCAATTCTGAGAAATAAAGTCGCAATTGCGAGATATAAAGTTGCAATTATAAGAAATAAAGTCGCAATTGCGAGATATAAAGTCGCAATTCTGAGAAATAAAGTCGCAATTGCGATATATAAAGTCGCAATTATAAGAAATAAAGTCGCAATTGCGAGAAAAAAAGTCTAAATTCTGTTTACATCTCGCAATTCCGACTTTATAACACATAATTGCGAGTTTATATCTTGAAATTCTGACATCTTTTCTCAGAATTGTGAGATATAAACTCGCAATTGCGAGTTATCAGGACAATTCTAAGGGGGAAAAAAGTCTAATTTTTTCCCCCCTCAGAATAGTATATATCTCACAATTCTGACTTTATAACACGCAATTGCGACTTTATATCAATCAATTCTGACTTTATATCTCGCAATTCTGACTTTATATCTCACAATTCTGACTTTATAACACGCAATTGCGACTTTATATCAATCAATTCTGACTTTATATCTCGCAATTCTGACTTTATATCTAGCAATTCTGACTTTATATCTCGCAATTGCGACTTTATATCTCGCAATTCTGACTTTACAACACGCAATTGCGACTTTATATCAACCAATTCTGACTTTATATCAACCAATTCTGACTTTATATCAACCAATTCTGACTTTATATCTCGCAATTCTGACTTTATATCTCGCAATTCTGACTTTATATCTCGCAATTGCGACTTTATATCTCGCAATTCTGACTTTACAACACGCAATTGCGACTTTATATCAACCAATTCTGACTTTATATCTCGCAATTCTGACTTTATATCTCGCAATTCTGACTTTATATCTCGCAATTCTGACTTTATATCTCGCAATTCTGACTTAACAACACGCAATTGCGACTTTATATCAACCAATTCTGACTTTATATCGCGCAATTCTGACTTTATATCTCGCAATTCTGACTTTATATCTCGCAATTCTGACTTTATATCTCGCAATTCTGACTTTATATCTCGCAATTCTGACTTTATATCTCGCAATTCTGACTTTATATCTCGCAATTGCGACTTTATATCTCGCAATTCTGACTTTATAACACGCAATTGCGACTTTATATCTCACAATTCTGACTTTATATCTCGCAATTCTGACTTTATATCTCGCAATTCTGACTTTATATCTCGCAATTCTGACTTTATATCTCGCAATTCTGACTTTACAACACGCAATTGCGACTTTATATCAATCAATTCTGACTTTATATCTCGCAATTCTGACTTTATATCTCGCAATTGCGACTTTATATCTCGCAATTCTGACTTTACAACACGCAATTGCGACTTTATATCTCGCAATTCTGACTTTATATCTCGCAATTCTGACTTTATATCACGCAATTCTGACTTTATATCTCGCAATTCTGACTTAACAACACGCAATTGCGACTTTATATCAACCAATTCTGACTTTATATCGTGCATATATCTCACAATTCTGACTTTATATCTCGCAATTCTGACTTTATATCTCGCAATTCTGACTTTATATCTCGCAATTCTGGCTTTATATCTCGCAATTGCGACTTTATATCAACCAATTCTGACTTTATATCTCGCAATTCTGACTTTATATCTCGCAATTCTGACTTTATATCTCGCAATTCTGACTTTATATCTCGCAATTCTGACTTTACAACACGCAATTCTGACTTTATATCAAACAATTCTGACTTTATATCAAACAATTCTGACTTTATATCAAACAATTCTGACTTTATATCTCGCAATTCTGACTTTATAACACGCAATTGCGACTTTATATCACGCAATTCTGACTTTATATCAATCAATTCTGACTATATCTCGCAATTCTGACTTTATAACACGCAATTGCGACTTTATATCAATCAATTCTGACATTATATCTCGCAATTCTGACTTTATATCACGCAATTTTGACTTTATATCTCGCAATTCTGACTTAACAACACGCAATTGCGACTTTATATCAATCAATTCTGACTTTATATCTCGCAATTCTGACTTTATAACACGCAATTGCGACTTTATATCACACAATTCTGACTTTATATCTCGCAATTCTGATTTTACAACACGCAATTGCGACTTTATATAAATCAATTCTGACTTTATATCTCGTAATTCTGACTTTATAACACGCAATTGCGACTTTATATCACGCAATTCTGACTTTATATCACGCAATTCTGACTTTATATCTCACAATTCTGACTTTATATCTCGCAATTCTGACTTTACAACACGCAATTGTGACTTTATATCAATAAATTCTGACTATATCTCGCAATTCTGACTTTATAACACGCAATTGCGACTTTATATCACGCAATTCTGACTTTATATCTCGCAATTCTGACTTTATATCTCGCAATTGCGACTTTATATCTCGCAATTCTGACTTTACAACACGCAATTGCGACTTTATATCACGCAATTCTGACTTTATATCTCGCAATTCTGACTTTATATCTCGCAATTGCGACTTTATATCTCGCAATTCTGACTTTACAACACGCAATTGCGACTTTATATCAATCAATTCTGACTTTATATCTCGCAATTCTGACTTTATATCTCGCAATTCTGACTTTATATCTCGCAATTCTGACTTTATATCTCGCAATTGCGACTTTATATCTCGCAATTCTGACTTTACAACACGCAATTGCGACTTTATATCAATCAATTCTGACTTTATATCTCGCAATTCTGACTTTATATCTCGCAATTCTGACTTTATATCTCGCAATTCTGACTTTATATCTCGCAATTGCGACTTTATATCAACCAATTCTGACTTTATATCTCACAATTCTGACTTTATATCTCGCAATTCTGACTTTATATCTCGCAATTCTGACTTTATATCTCGCAATTCTGACTTTATATCTCGCAATTCTGACTTTATATCTCGCAATTCTGACTTTATATCAACCAATTCTGACTTTATATCTCACAATTCTGACTTTATATCTCGCAATGCTGACTTTATATCTCGCAATTCTGACTTTATATCTCGCAATTGCGACTTTATATCTCACAATTCTGACTTTATATCTCGCAATTCTGACTTTATATCTCACAATTCTGACTTTATATCTCGCAATGCTGACTTTATATCTCGCAATTCTGACTTTATATCTCGCAATTGCGACTTTATATCTCACAATTCTGACTTTATATCTCGCAATTCTGACTTTATATCACGCAATTCTGACTTTATATCTCGCAATTGCGACTTTATATCTAGCAATTCTGACTTTACAACACGCAATTGTGACTTTATATCTCACAATTCTGACTTTATATCTCGCAATTCTGACTTTATAACACGCAATTGCGACTTTATATCAATCAATTCTGACTTTATATCTCGCAATTCTGACTTTACAACGCAATTGCGACTTTATATCAACCAATTCTGACTATATCACGCAATTCTGACTTTATATCTCGCAATTCTGACTTTATATCTCGCAATTCTGACTTTATATCTCGCAATTCTGACTTTATATCTCGCAATTCTGACTTTATAACACGCAATTGCGACTTTATATCTCGCAATTCTGACTTTATAACACGCAATTCTGACTTTATATCTCGCAATTCTGACTTTATATCTCGCAATTCTGACTTTATATCTCGCAATTCTGACTTTATATCTTGCAATTCTGACTTTACAACACGCAATTGTGACTTTATATCAATCAATTCTGACTTTATATCTCGCAATTCTGACTTTATAACACGCAATTGCGACTTTATATCACGCAATTCTGACTTTATATCTCGCATTTCTGATTTTACAACACGCAATTGCGACTTTATATCAATCAATTCTGACTATATCTCGCAATTCTGACTTTATAACACGCAATTGCGACTTTATATCACGCAATTCTGACTTTATATCACGCAATTCTGACTTTATATCTCACAATTCTGACTTTACAACACGCAATTGCGACTTTATATCAATCAATTCTGACTATATCTCGCAATTCTGACTTTATAACACGCAATTGCGACTTTATATCTCGCAATTCTGACTTTATATCTCGCAATTCTGACTTTATATCTCGCAATTCTGATTTTACAACACGCAATTGCGACTTTATATCAATCAATTCTGACTTTATATCTCGCAATTCTGACTTTATATCTCGCAATTCTGACTTTATATCTCGCAATTCGGACTTTATATCTCGCAATTCGGACTTTATATCTCATAATTCGGACTTTATATCTCGCAATTCTGAGAAATAAAGTCAGAATTGCGAGATGTAAACTCGCAATTGTGTGAGAAAAAGTCAGAATTGTGAGATAAAAAGTCACAATTAGCTTTTTTGTTTTTCATTCTGTGGCGGAAACAAGCTTCCATACATAACCCTTTTAATCCAGCTCAAAATGTCTGACATTGTGTGTCTTTGCCGACCGCTTGTGTTAAATAAATAATATAACATGATATTTCATGACTCTAGATGGCTTTATATCTTGGGCTGTGAACAATTAATCGCGATTAATCGCATCCTAAATAAAAGTTTGTGTTTTCATAATATATATAATACATGCAAATATTTCTTAAATATATACATGCATGTGTGTGTATTTATATATACAAAATAATTATACACAGTACACACATATTATGTAAACACAAACTTTTATTTTGGATGCGATTAATCGCGATTAATAGTTCTATATGGAGTAAATGAGCTGTTCCTCTGGGTCCTAAAGTCAGTTTCTCTTCAGAATGCATTCAGATACTCATGTAGACAGTATAAAATCAGTTTTTTGGTAAAGTTTTAGCATTTTTAGGTTTTTCTATGTGAACTGAAGCATTCCTCGCTTTCCATTCATTCCTAAGGGGCTCATATTGACCCGCGAGGGAAGGATTCGTTACTTTTTTAAATTTCAACCACAAAACTCCTCGAATACATACAATTGTTTGTGTGTATTAGTGGTTCAGGTGCGACAAAAGTCCTGGGGTGTTGGACTCCTCTAAAGAAACACTCAATTGTTTAATTTTTTTTGGGGGGGGTCAAAATGACCCGAGGGAAGGATTAGTTAAACAAGCACAAACACTTATGAATCATGTGCTTACTTTGTTCCCTGCTCTTCAGATTACACATCGGAAAAAGAAAGATCTGTGCTCATCCCAAACTGAGGAAAGTCTTGGACAAGATCATGAAGAATCGCAAACACAAGCGACCTTGAATAATCGAGGATCGTCTCTATAATCCCGGAGTCATGGATCTTCTGCCGGTTTCAGGAGTTTCAGCATTGATTGCATTTTCTGCTGATCGTTCCAGACATTATTAACTACAATATACTGTATATATTCTTTGTATGCTCTTCTTTTTTAATGAAATAAAATCTTTTTTTTCTTCTTCAGTTTTTTAATGTTTCACGCCAGTGAAATGGTCCCATGATGTAAAAGAAAAAATATGAGTCGGATGATAATTTTACCTGATTTGATTAGGTCAGCAAACAGTCAATAAATAAATAATAAACACACAATCAATAAGTAAATAAGTTGATAAATAGCCTAAAGAAATAAAGAAATAAGTAAATAAACAATCAATGAGTAAATAAATAATCAATAAGTCAATAAATAAATAAAATAAACAATAAATAATCAATCAATAATCAATAAATAAATAAACAATAAATAAGCAATCAATAAGTCAATAAATACTCAATCAATCAATCAATAAGTCAATACATAACTAAATAAGTCAATAAATATCAATCAATAAGTTAATGTCAATAAATAAATACTCAATAATCAATCAATAAGTCAATAAATAAATAATAAATAAATAATCAATCAATAAGTCAATAAATAAATAAATAAACAATTAATAATCAATCAATAAGTCAATAAATAAATAAACAATATATAATCAATCAATAAGTCAATAAATAAATAAACAATAAATAATCAATCAATAAGTCAATAAATAAATAAACAATAAATAATCAATCAATAAGTCTATAAATAAATAAATAATCAATCAATAAGTCAATACATAACTAAATAAGTCAATAAATATCAATAAGTTAATGTCAATAAATAAATAAATAATCAATCAACCAATAAGTCAATAAATAAATAAACAATAAATAATCAATAAATAAATAATCAATAAGTCAATAAATAAAGAAATAAATACAGAATCAATAAGTAAAAAAGTTGATAAATAGCCTAACAAAAAAACAAAAAACAAAAAAACAATCAATTAGTAAATAAATAATCAATCAATAAAGAAATAAAGAAATAAATAATAAATAATCAATAAGACAATAAATAAATAACTAAATAAGTCAATTAATATCAATCAATAAGTTCATGTCAATAAATAAATAAATAAACAATAAATAACCAATCAATCAATAAGTCAATAAATAAATAAACAATAATCAATCAATCAATAAGTTAATAAATAATCAATCAATCAATAAGTCAATAAATATCAAGCAATAAGTTAATGTCAATAAATAAATAAACAATAAATAACCAATCAAGCAATAAGTCAATAAATAAATAATAATCAATCAATCAATAAGTTAATAAATAAAGAAATAGATAAACAATAAATAATCAATAAGTCAATAAATAACGAAATAAACAATAATCAATCAATAAATAATTTTGGCATAAGGCTTATTAGTAGGCTATAGCCTGAAAGGTCTGATTTAGCCTGTGCACTGTTACAACAGTAACACATTTTTTTTTTCACAATGACATTTGAGTTCATGATTTTAATGTTTTTTTTTTTTTTTTTTTTTTTTGTGGCAGACTAAAGACTAATGACAGACTTTCGATCTTTGTGAACCCCCCCCCCCCCCCCCCCCCCAAAGGTTCACAAAGAGCACAAATGAAGACACGTTAAAAGCATTATATTAATGTAGCCTTATATTAATGTAAAAGCAACGTTTAATATTAGCCTGCTTGTCAATTAATAGGCTATAATAATTATAATATGAATTAAAAGTAATTATAATATAAATATAAATAATTAGCAGCAAAAGATGAGCAATGTTGTCTCTAAAGTTTTTTCACTATAAACTGCTTTAATTTGTAGTGATATATAAAGGGGCGTGGCTTTATTGCGTCAGATACACGTCACTGGTCCAGTTTTGGCCTGCGAATGTCTGACCCAGAATAAAACCTGTTCTGAAGCAGGTTATCCGAAACCAATCCACCTTCTTGAGCCCGAAAAACCAGAGTTTGGTCAAACTAATCTCGAATTTACCTGATTAGCAACTGCAACCAGCTTTGTGCAACAACAGGCCACTGGAGTTTCAGGTTTGAAAGCTGTTGTTGTGGATCAGCTTCTGCCTGTCTGTCAGCTCTTCTCTCTATAATCTATCGTTTTCATTAATTGAACACATTTTTGGTTTCTTCAAAATCTCGTGTAGTTTCGAAATGTTCCAAACAGCTGAAATTGAGAGTCAGGTCATCAATGACACTCGTTTACAAAATATTATTTCAGGCAGCTTTTTAGAACAACAACATGTGTTGTTAGTATGGACAGTTTGAGAAAAAGCTCAACCTAGAGACTGATGCTTGCCTCAAATCATTACTCGTTCACTATTCCCTATATAGTGAACACTGAACAGCATATACTGTGGCTCACAAGGGAATGACGTCGATTTCGTGGCATCCACTGCCATCTAGTGGCGGAATCGGGAACAGGCCAATTTTATTTCAACTGCAGCAAACATACTTTTATTAATTTATTATTATTTAATTATTATTAAACAATAGCCACCGAATTTACACACAATGTAAATGTAAAATAGGACAATTATTATTTTAACGTGTTCAATTCATTATGGAATTTCTGCCAAATTAGATTTTTTTTTCTTTCTCTTTTGTAAATCATAAATCGAAATGATGTCATTAAAAGTCGATATTATACTTAAAAGTCATAATTATGACGTAAAAAGTCAAAATTATGACGTACAAAGTCGACTTTTTACCTCAGTTTTGACTGTTTGTGTCATACTTATTATTATTATTTACACCGAAACTTGATTTCTTTCACATTGGTTTCTCAGAAACTGAATGAGAGACTACATTCAATATATATTTTTTTGTGTTCCCATTTGCTTAAATAGCAAAAGTAAAACTCCACAATAGTGTTTTCACAACTTTCAAAAAGAGGAAAAAGAGATTAATAATGAAAGATTAATAATGGCAGTCTGAAGAGAGAAAGATGTCAACAGCATTAACTAGTTTATTGTAATTTGATGCAAAGGTAATATAATACAAAATATACTGTTATAAATGTACATACATAAAATAAAAATAAATAAATAATAAAATAATATATACATATATATATATATATATACAACTTTGCAGGATTTACGATTTTGATGATGACCGTTAAAACGCGTCATCACAGTTCGTAAAAAAAGGGCGGGCTTCCACAAACCCCAGAGCCAGACCGTTTCCGCGCCACTAAACCCCGCCCTCTCTGAGACCACGCCCCCTGTCATATTAGTTGTTAGTCATTCAACGAGAGCTGTCGTTCTTCAGTCGTTCAATCATTAACTGACAACGTTCCTGAAAATCCTCTCACATCATGAGTAATTATTAAATAACCTGTTTAGTATGTTTACACTTCGGGTTCAGCAACAGCATGTTAGTCTCCAGACCGCCGAAGAAAGAGAGAAAACTATGAGGATTAATGGAGACTAAAATAACCGAAAGAAAGATGACGTTAAACGACGATATTAAACACACGAAATTCATGAAGTTTTTCTCCGCCGTGTTTTACGCATGTTGTTCGTTTTTCATCATCGTGGTGAATAAATGTATTTTAACCCAGTACAAGTAAGTATCAACTTCCGGCTTTCATAGTGCATGTACATGTTTACAAATGTTGTTCATACATACATAATAACATTACGATTAATTAATTCATTATTATGACGTGTGTTGTTGTAAATGGTAGGTTTCCCTCATTTATGTTTCTTGGAATTGGGCAGGTGAGAAACATTTAAAAAAAAAAAATCAAAAGTTATTTCATTAACAACACACGAAATCTATCAGTTTTTATTTTGTTTTTATTTTGTCATAGATGACAGCAACAATCATCATTCTGTTTGTTGCCAAAATGAACAAAGTGATCCATTTTCAGGACTTTGACAAAACCATCCCTGGAAAGGTAATGTAATGTGTGTCATTTTGTTTTTAATCACACTTATTACACCGCTTTGCTTATTGATAATGTTATTTTTATATAGATTTTTCCTTTGCCATTGCTGTATGTGGGCAATCATGTGACCGGACTGGGAGGAACAAAGAAACTGAGGTAAACAGAAACACAAGAGTTTTGCATAAAAAGAACAAAGTTTCATTTATTAACATTAGTTTACTGCATTAAATAACAATGAAAGATACTGTTAACACATTTATGTTCTAATGCATTATTAAAATCTAAAGTTGTACTAACATTATTTAACGGACCTGAACAGTTGTATTTATTAGGGATGCACGATATATCGGCCACTATATTGGTACATGATTGCATACAAGACAACAAACATGTCTGTACGATGTTCTGGTGCTGAGATATGGCTTATTGTTGTTCAGGTGGTTGCTAGGGTGTTCTGGGTGGTTAGTATGGGATTTCTAGGCGGTTGCTAGCGTATTCTGGGTGGTTGCTAGGGTGTTCTGGGTGGTTCCTAGGCGGTTGGTAGTTTGTTCTGGGTGGTTGCTATGGTGTTGCTAGGCGGTTGCTAGAATATTTTGGATGGTTACTAGGCCGTTTCTGAGTGGTTGCTAAGGTATTTTTGGTAGTTGTTACTAGGTGGTTGGTAGTTGTTGTCACAGATGATTACTATGGAGTTTTTACATAGTTCTTAAAATCTTTAGTAATGAGTGGCTTTAGTACGGAGATATCGGTATCGGCCGATATATGTTAATTTTTAATGTTAGCGTTATCGGCCCAATAAGAAAATGTGTCCGATATATTAAAGCCGATAAATAATGTATTATGTCCTTCAGCTTAGACTCTTTAGATGCGCACTGTTTAACATGATGGTTTTGAATTACTTGAAATATGATTAAAATCACTTTAAAAAAGGAAAATACAGTTCAGTGCAACATGTATCATATCGGCTACATAAGATTATAATGAGAACATTATAATTGTGTGCTAAGGACATGGCTTTTGTTTTTGTAATCAGGCTCACAGATATTATATAAAAATTTGGATTTAGATTTATCAGCCGATTTATCGGTTATCGGCTTTTAAATATAAAGAATTATCGGTTATCGGTATTGGCCAAAATTTTCATATCGGTTTTGGAATAATGATTGATGATGTATTGACTTTGAACAAAAAAGTTACATAATGTACATTTAATGTAAAATGTGACACTCGTGTGAAGCTGATGTTCTCGTGTTCCTCAGTTTACCCATGTTCACCGTACTCAGAAAATTCACCATTTTACTGACAATGATTATGGAATCAAGGATACTGAGGTATGTACACTCGTTTATAATATTATATTAATATTATTACATCCAGAGACGTAGTCTTTAACGTGATGGTCCATGAAAAGAGCTGTGTTTTCTTTATTAATATTATCATTTATAATCTAATTATATTAATGATTCAAATGTTCATCTATCTATAAATTACAGGAATGTCTGTGTGTGTGTGTGTGTGTCTGTTATTCGCATATCTCTCGAACCGTTAGTCCGATGGATTTCAAACTCGACGGGTGTCTTGCTACGGGCGCGAGTAAGTGCAGTGCCGAGTTTGACGTGGTTTGGATTAGAAATGTAAAAGATATCGGTAAATATATCGGTAAAAGAAGCACACACTGAAGATGTTCAGAAGGTTGTGGTTTAAAAAGAAACATTCATAAACACGCGGTCAGCTAAACATTAAGTCATGCACTAATAAAAATATCACTGAACTTTTGCTGTATAATTGTAACAATGAGCACTCAAACACACCAGTTACTAAAAACCATTATAAATTGTCACCATATGACCATTACAGGTGAAACTCGAAAAATCAGAATATGGTGCAAAAGTTCATTTATTTCAGTAATTCAACTTAAAAGGTGAAACTAATATATTATATAGACTCATTACATGCAAAGTGAGATATTTCAAGCCTTTATTTGTTATAATTGTGATGATTATGGCTTATAGATATGAAAACCTTTTCACAATATTCTAATTTTGAATTTGGGGTTGTTATATTATAAAAAATTATAAAAAATAAAGGCTTGAAATATCTCACTTTGCATGTAATGAGTCTATATAATATATTAGTTTCACCTTTTAAGTTGAATTACTGAAATAAATGAACTTTTGCACAATATTCAAATTTTTCAAGTTTCACCTGTATAAATTATGCAACCATGTAGTTCAATTTTCCATATTTATTGTATGTCACTATGTCAGTATTTGCTTTCTACCATGCACAAATAAAAATGTCACTGAACTTTTCCTGTATAATTGTAACAAACAAACACACCAAACCAACAATTACTAAAAACACACAAAAACTGATTTTACACGAGCACTGCACTAGTAATTATATAATTGTTACGTCCAGAGACGTATTCTTTATTGTTACGGTCCATGAGAAGAGCTGTTTTCTTTAATGTGTTTTTTGTGTGTGCTTTTTTCTGTGTTTGATGATTATGATTAAAATTAATGATGAAAATATTTATTTTATATTAACAAATTTTTTTTTTTTTTTTTTTTTTTTTTTTTTTATGATGCTTAAACTGTGTGTGTGTGCAGAAAAACCTTCCCTTCGTCGCTGGTGTTCAGTGTTCTGGCGATAGTTCTGGGCGCTCTGATCGCAGCGAGGTACAGTCGAAGAACACACACAAATCATTAAAGTTCATGCAAATAAACACACAGCATGTTTTCAATGAATGAGGCATTTATATAGTGCTTTTCATATGTACTACTGTACACCCAAAGCGCTTTACAATCATGTCGGGTTCACAGCGTGTTTTCAATGAGCTCATTGTTTCTGCCTTTAATTATTACATTGTTTAAATTCATACATTTTTCGCTATCTGTGATTTTGTATACAGGTGAAACGCGAAAAATCAGAATATGGTGCAAAAGTTCATTTATTTCAGTAATTCAACTTAAAAGGTGAAACTAATATATTATATAGACTCATTACATGCAAAGTGAGATATTTCACGCCTTTATTTGTTATAATTGTGATGATTATGGCTTACAGATATGAAAACCTTTTCACAATATTCTAATTTTGAATTTGGGGTTTTCATATCTGTAACACATAATCATCACAATTATAACAAATAAAGGCTTGAAATATCTCACTTTGCATGTAATGAGTCTATATAATATATTAGTTTGAATTTTTGCACAACATTCTAATTTTTCGAGTTTCACCTGTACGTACATTTCTGAAATGCATAACTTAGAGAGTTTTCTCTGATATCACATCACTCTAAATTATAATATACACTCGTGCATTTTCTGTAAAGCTGCTTTGAAATGATGTGTATTGTGAAAAGTGCTGTATAAATACTTGTGACTTGAATCTTCAGCTCGGATCTGTCCTTTAATGCGGAAGGCTACACGTTTGTTCTGCTGAACGACGTCTTCACGGCCGCCAGTGGCGTTTACACCAAGAAGAAACTGGGAATGGAGGTACTTTATGACAGCATTAGTTATCAGGATGTTTCTGTAAATACAGGTGAAACTGGAAAAATTAGAATATGGTGCAAAAGTTCATTTATTTCAGTAATTCAACTTAAAAGGTGAAACTAATATACTATATAGACTCATTACATGCAAAGTGAGATATTTCAAGTCTTTATTTGTTATCATTTTGATGATTATTGACAACCCCAAATTCAAAATTAGAATATTGTGAAAAGGTTTTCATATCTGTAATCCATAATCATCAAAATTATAACAAATAAAGGCTTGAAATATCTCACTTTGCATGTAATGAGTCTATATATAGTTTCACCTTTTGAGTTGAATTACTAAAATAAATTACCTTTTGCACCATATTCTAATTTTTCGAGTTTCACCTGTAATAATGCGATTATAACTCAAGAACTGGTGCTTTGACCTTTGCACGCATGTGCTGGAACTGACAGATCAATGCGACTCGTTCTTATTAAATAACAGTGGTTGATTTGTATGTTTCGGTTAATAAAAGTCATGCAGTGCAAACTTTACAACAGCCAAACCCAACGCAAACACTTCCGTCTGTCATTACAGGAGCTCGGTAAATATGGAGTTTTGTTTTATAATGCATTTATCATTATTATACCAACTGTGCTGGCGAGCGCTTACACTGGAGATTTACAAAAGGTGAGTGAGAACATGAAGAACATAATTCAGATGAGAATTAGAGAATATTAACATATTTTCCTCCTTGTTTTAAGGCCCTTGCCTTTGAAGGATGGCTGTCTTTCACATTCATATTTTATTTTTTACTGTCTTGTGTCATGGGGTGAGTCTGACTTATGATGTTTTTATAATTGGATGATATATACATATATATATTTATAAATAACTACAACCTTATATCCCATTTCAGGTTTATTTTGATGTATTCTATCATCCTCTGCAGCTTTTACAACACGGCACTGACAACGACAGTCGTTGGAGCAATTAAAGTATCTTTACTAATTATAATTATTATTTTAATGTACACTACTGTTCACAAGTTTAGGGTCAGTAAGATTAATGCTTTTATTCATCAAGGATGCATTAAATTGATCAAAAGTGACAGTAAAGACATTTATAATGTTACAAAAGATTCGGTTTCAAATAAATGTGGTTCTTTTGAACTTTCTATTCATCAAAGAATCAGTTTCCACAAACGGTGTTCAACATTGATAATAATCATAAATATTTCTTGAGCATCAGATCCTCATATTAGAGTGATTTCTGAAGGGTCATGTGACACTGAAGACTGGAGTAATGATGCTGAAAATCACAGGAATAAATTACACTTTACTGTATATTCACATAGAAAACAGCTGATTTACATTCTAATATTTCACTGTTTTTATTATTTTTGATCAAATGAATACAGCCTTGCTGAGCAGAAGAGACCTTTTTCAAAAACATTAAAAAGTCCTACAGATTTCAAACTTTTGAATGGTAGTTTATTAAAAATGTTTACATTAGGGATGCACGATATGGCGTTATCGGCCTGATAAGAAAATGTGTCCGAAATATTAAAGCTGATAAATAATGTATTATGTCCTTCAGCTGAGGCTCTTCAGATGCGCACTGTTCAACATGATGGTTTTGAATTGCTTGAAATTTGATTGGAATCACTTCAAAAAAGGAAAAATACAGTGAAGTGCAACATGTGTCATATCGGCTACATAAGATTATAATGAGAACATTATAAGTGTGGTTGGAACGTGGCTTTTCATTGTGAGAGTAGTTTTTGTAATCAGGCTCTCAAAAATTCTTTAAAAAAATGTGGATTTAGATTTATTGGCCGATATATTGGTTATCGGCTTTCAAATATTAAAAGAGTTAACTGTATCGACCAAAATGTGGATTTAGATTTATCGGCCAATATATCGGTTATTGGCTTTCAAATATTAAAAGAGTTATCGGTATCGACCAAAATGTGGATTTAGATTCATCGGCCGATATATCGGTTATCAGCTTTCAAATATAAAGAGTTATCGGTACCGTCCAAAATGTGGATCTAGATTTATCGGCCGATATATTGGTTATCGGCTTTCAAATATTAAAAGAGTTAACTGTATCGACCAAAATGTGGATTTAGATTTATCGGCCAATATATCGGTTATTGGCTTTCAAATATTAAAAGAGTTATCGGTATCGACCAAAATGTGGATTTAGATTCATCGGCCGATATATCGGTTATCAGCTTTCAAATATAAAGAGTTATCGGTACCGTCCAAAATGTGGATATAGATTTATCGGCCGATATATCGGTTATCGGCTTTCAAATATTAAAAGAGTTAACTGTATCGACCAAAATGTGGATTTAGATTTATCGGCCAATATATCGGTTATTGGCTTTCAAATATTAAAAGAGTTATCGGTATCGACCAAAATGTGGATTTAGATTCATCGGCCGATATATCGGTTATCAGCTTTCAAATATAAAGAGTTATCGGTATCGACCAAAATGTGGATTTAGATTTATCGGACAATATATCGGTTATCGGCTTTCAAATATTAAAAGAGTTATCGGTATCGAAAAAAATGTGGATTTAGATTTATCGGCCGATATATCGGTTATCGGCTTTCAAATATTAAAAGAGTTATCGGTATCGCCCAAAATGTGGATTTAGATTTATCGGCCGATATATCGGTTATCAGCTTTCAAATATTAAAAGAGTTATCGGTATCGACCAAAATGTGGATTTAGATTCATCGGCCGATATATCGGTTATCAGCTTTCAAATATAAAGAGTTATCGGTATCGTCCAAAATGTGGATTTAGATTTATCGGCCAATATATCGGTTTTTGGCTTTCAAATATTAAAGAGTTATCGGTATCGACCAAAATGTGGATTTAGATTTATCGGCCGATATATCGGTTATCAGCTTTCAAATATAAAGAGTTATATATCGACCAAAATGAGGATTTAGATTCATCGGCCAATATACCGGTTATCGGCTTTCAAATATTAAGAGTTATCGGTATCGACCAAAATGAGGATTTAGATTTATCGGCTAATATATCGGTTATCGGCTTTCAAATATTAAAAGAGTTATCGGTATCGACCAAAATGTGGATTTAGATTCATCGGCCAATATATCGGTTATCGGCTTCTATATAGAATTATCAAAATTTTCATATCGGTGCATCCCTAGTTTACATATAGTTTATCAATCATATGTTCATTAGGGCTTTCATAAGTCATCTTTGTTTCCTCTCAGAATGTTGCTGTGATGTATATCGGCATGTTTGTTGGTGGAGACTATATCTTCTCATGGACGAACTTTATAGGCCTGAATATATGGTAGGAAACGCCTTCAAGTCATATTTCCACTGCATCGCTGACGTCCGTCTCCTAACGCTCGAGTTTCTCCATGTTTCAGCATCTCAGCGGGACTGATTTACTCCTACATCACGTTCAGCGGCAGCTCCTCGGAAGCAAACGTGAACCCGTCCGAACACACAGCGATCCGCATCACAGACGACCATCCCGAGAAGACATGATGGAGCCTTACAGTTTGCATCTCAATGTTTACTCTTTTTTTTATTTAAATCTTGAGAAGAAAATCACTTCCTGCTCGATGAACATACAAACCTGTTCCATGTTTTATACCCTTAATTAAATAAAAACAAACATGACAACCAAGAACGATGTATATCATTTAATTAGGACTTGAAGTGCTAACACACTAAGTTCGGCTAATGAGTAAAAAAAAAAAGCCAGCTTACAAATTTACAAAGTCCTTTCAGCACAGCGAACACAACGTCTCAAAAACAAAACACGTGATTACATTCTGCTGTCGTGACGTAATCGCCTGGGATCGTTTCGCTTTTACACGGTACATCATGCACAGCTTTCTGAGGGGTTTTTTTAGGGGGGGGGGAATATATTATTTCAGTTATAAAATGGAGAAATAACTCAAAAAGCCATATATAAAACCAAAAAAAATTTCCAATTAACTTTCTCAGAAACATCTTCCAGTTTTTGCACATGCATTCACCAAATGAAGAGGAAAGACGCTGATTTTAACTGCATCAAGCATGAAATCTGCGAATGCATTTAATCCAAATGAACGTAATACGAACTGCTAAATTACACGTGAACAGAATGTAGTGTTACGGATTATGAAGACACTGAAATAACAAGTGCTGTTTCCCATCCAGAATCTCATTCGATCGTCTCTCTTTGGAAGTGTCTATAGTTGAGCTATCGACGTGAGACAAAAAGTAATAGATTAATATTGTAAGTGCTTCAGTTTATAGGGTTTTTACCCATGAACTCTACGCTAGCATATAAACGTGTACCTCTGCGACACATAGATGGCGTTTTAAAGCTGGTTAGTTTGACGTTATTGCAAAGCCTGAGCCCTCATCGCCTACGGCTGACAGCAGGTGGCGCTCAACACTGCTTTAAATAGAATAAATACATGATTAAACGTGACCAATGTGATGGAAGCGAACCGGACTAATGCGCGTCTACGTACAGGTGAAACTCGCAAAATTAGAATATGGTGCTAAAGTTCATTTATTTCATTAATTCAACTTAAAAGGTGAAACTAATATATTATATAGACTCATTACATGCAAAGTGAGATATTTCAAGCCTTTATTTGTTATAATTGTGATGATTATGGCTTACAGATATGAAAACCTTTTCACAATATTCTCATTTTGAATTTGGGGTTGTCGATAATCATCAAAATTATAACAAATAAAGGCTTGAAATATCTCACTTTGCATGTAATGAGTCTATATAATATATTAGTTTCACCTTTTAAGTTGAAATACTGAAATAAATGAACTTTTGCACCATATTCTAATTTTTCCAGTTTCACCTGTGTATATGAAAGCCAGCCGTTAACTACGCGATCCTCCGTAAACAAGTCTTCATCTTTAGCAGGTCGATCAGCGCACCCTGTTTCAAAACACACGCACACACACACACACACACACACACACACTAAAATCCTTTTAAAAAATAACGTCACATACACAACAACTCCACCCACAAACCCAAAAAGAGAAACACTCATGTACACAAAGTGCTCAACGAAACAAAAAAACAAACAAAACGACGTCTCACCTGCTTATCAAGCGGAGAAAACAAAACAACATTCTTCATAATGATATTTATCTACCATCATAGCAGCCTAAAGGTACAATAGGAAGCAAAATAAGGTGCTTGTAGCTTATACGACCCGGGCCGGGTCTCGATGCGAGGAAAGTCCACGTGTGGTGTTCTTCTCAGGCCGAGAGATTGTTAGCTAGCTCGATGAGCGCGAGCGCACCGTGTAGACGCTCTCTCTGCTCTTGGAGACGCCGGCGTGCCGTTCCCGCGTTCTTCTCGTCCTCTTGCTCGTCGTCTTCTCCTTCGTCCGATGGAAGGAAGTCTAGAGGATCCTGCTGTTCCTGATCCTCCATAGTGGCTTTACCCAGAGTCTTTCCTTTCTCCGGCGCGGGCGACCGCTGTTCCCTCGTCTGCCAGTATCTGACGAAACAAGTGCAATCAGGGTTACTATCATCACCAAATAACAAACTCATTTTGAACAAAATCGGGGCCGAAACGAAGATTTTAAACCTTCAAAAAGATCTTTGCCACACGTATATATTGAGGCATTACATGTGTCAAAGATGTACACAAAACTACTGAATGAAAAGTCCCCATTCTTGTTTTTTTAAAGTCCCCCTGTGGTGAAAATCCAGCTTTTAATGTTGTTTATATGTCTATGTGATATTTTTAATACGCTTTAATGTGTAAGTTCATAAGTCGACAGCATTGCTGAGTATTTCCTCCTTAAAACTGCAGTGAACCAAAGACAGTCTCAAAAACACGGTTTGAAATCGCTGGTGTTTCTGACGTCACAAACAACCTTGTAACCAATCAGATCAACGTGTGATCGTCAACCAGTGGATCTCTGAGCTGAGTGAGTGAGTGGAGGCGGGGCTCATCTGCATATTCATAGAACCGCGCATACTAAATGAGGCGAGGGTGTCGAGACTTTTGCCTCAAACTCCTAATTATAGTTATTAAGGAAGTTGTTAAGTTCAGGATTGAGGGATGTAGAGTATGATCATGCAGAATAAGGCATTAATATGTGCTTTATAAGTACTAATAAACAGCCAATATTGTAGTAATATGAATGTTAATAAGCAACTAGATCATAGTGAGAATTGGACCCTAAACTTAAGTGTTAACTAATATAAATATTAGTTGAAAAACATAAACTAAACGAAAATGAGAAACGTTGCCTTGGCACTAAAAATAAAACTAATCAACATATTCTCAATATTTTTGGGGGATGGACCAGTTATTATAGTATTATATATTATATGCAAGAATGTATTGTATGTCAAATTACAGTCTGAAAGAAAAATGTTAATTATTATTATTTCCAGCATTATAAGCGCAGAGCTTAGGGTGAATTATGCACAATACATGACACACACACAAATAACACTTGTGTCTGTTTATGGATACAATATGGCGATAATATGCTATATAAATATTCCCCTCCACCCGTAATCAACATGTTTACCAATAAACAGAAAACATTCATATCGCACACTTACTGAGTTCATGAGTTCTGGTGCGTATCTCCGCCCCCTTTTGATTGACAGGTCAGCTGATCATCAGCTGTTCTTACACAATAACAGCACAGATAATTGCTTTTATCGGCACCCCTAGTGTTCATCAAGCGTCTCTGGACGTTTTACTCACTTTGTCAGCCATTCGGCGACGGCCTTGTTGTCGGCGCCGTGTGATTGTCCCGGGCCGCCCGTCGGCTCCTCGCGCTTCAGTCTAGCGTACGGGTGTTTGGGACAGTGGCGGTTAGCGTGAGTAAACCGGCTACCGCATCCTAAAACACACAGAGAAATGACTTTACATTAGAGAAACTCAAGCATTTAGAGACCACAGCACTGAGGTCTACACTGATGATAATAATAGCACAGTACTAGCACACCAAAGCCTCGATATACGTTATGGAAAATTGAAGAATTAACTCATTTTGAACAAAATCAGGCCAAAACTAAGTGAAGATTTTCAGGTATTTTGAACTTCGAAAAATAACGTTGCCACGAATATATTGAGGCATTAATACTAAAAATTTAAAACTACTGAATGAAATCAGCACTTATTTAAAGTCCCCCTGTGGTGTAAATCCAGCGTTTAATGTTGTTTATGTGTCTATGTGGTGTTTTTAATACGCTTTAAGACACACCATGTGTAAGTTCATAAGTCGACAGCATTGCTGAGTATTTCCTCCTTAAAACTGCAGTGAACCAAAGACAGTCTCAAACACACGGTTTGAAATCGCTGGTGTTTCTGACGTCACAAACGACCTTGTAACCAATCAGATCAACGTGTGATCGTCAACCAGTGGATCTCTGAGCTGAGGGAGTGAGTGGAGGCGGGGCTCATTTGCATATTCATAGAACCACGCATACTAAATGAGGCGAGGGTGTCGCGTTACATTCAAGATATTTTAAGGTATTAAAAATGATGTGGGCGGGGCAACCTGTCACTCACATGAGATCAGCCAATAGCAAACCACAACCATCCAATCAATTCCCAACAGGCAAAATCAAGCCCCGCCCACATTTGTTCTCTTTCCAGAAGCGTTTCACTCGGATATACGGCACAAACGCTCACCTTTCTCCAAACAGACGAAGGGCTTCTCTCCGGTGTGGAGGCGCTGATGGGTCTTCAACTGTCCGCTCTGGACAAACCTTTTCCCGCAGTCCGGATAATCGCACAGATACGGTCTCTCGCCTGCAACATAACCAGGATAATTAGCACTCGATTTGTCATCTGAACGCAAACGCACATGACCGCAGGACTCAGTGTGGCGTCACGAACCGGTGTGTGTCCGCTTGTGCGCCTGCAGGGACTTCTCCCGGGGAAAGACCCGGTTGCAGATGTTGCATCGGATGCGACTGGTTGAGTTTTCGCCCTCGTTGATCAGCTCTCGAACGGTTTCGGCCCTCGGGCGTCCACGCCGGATCCCATCCTGCAATAATAAACCAGGAAAGAGCATGTTAGACTGATGACAGAACGATCCATATGCAAACGCGAGCACTTTTATGATGGATAGATGCACTTTTATGATTGATAGATGCACTTTTATGATGTATGGATGCACTTTTATGATGTATGGATGCACTTTTATGATGGATAGATGCACTTTTATGATGGATAGATGCACTTTTATGATGTATGGATGCACTTTTATGATGGATAGATGCACTTTTATGATGTATGGATTAGGGGTGGTGAAAAAAATCGATTATTGATTAATCGCGATTATGTTATGGACGAGTATGAATCGATTATTACATTTTCAAAAATCGATTTTTTATTATATATATATAAAAAAAAATTGCATTATTTTATTTTGTAAAAAATTTTATACCGGAAGTTGAACGTCACGAACGCGCCCAGTTCCGCAAGCGCGTGTAACGGCAGCCAGAGCGAGTGAGAGCAGGTGTGCCAGAGACACACTGGCTGCGTGGCGGCGTCTCAGCTGCGTGGTGTGTCCGTTTTTATTTCGGCTCCCATGTTAACAGGTTAGAGCTTGCACACTGCCTGCATGAGCCGCGCGGAAAACGCGTGCATGCTAGAAATAGAACCGACGCCTATTTTTCACGCGACACGCAAGCGTGTTGGAAGCGTTTCCAGGCAAAATAGAATAGGAAACGATGTTTATATGTCATTTTGTACACGAATACATATTAATAAATTACATTTTGATGTTTGAAAGTCTAGGTTTTGATATAAATTCAGATATCAATGTAATTTAAACAAATAATAATAATAATAATAATAATAATTATCGATTTTCAAATATTGCCATTATTTTTGCCTATATACAAATTTATGTCATTTTTATTTTTTAAACAATCGAGTCCTGGTGTTCACTACAGAGGTCATAGCATAACATATGAATAAAATATCTCTTTTTTTTTTCATTTGTTTCTTATGCTCTTAACAATGTGATTACATGAAGAAGAAAAAAAACTTTTGAAAAAAACGTTCTGGGCCTCAGGAGGATATAAAGATAATAGGCTACAATAACAACATAGTGTGTCTTCTGAGTGACGGTCCACCATCAGGCTAAATATAGGCTCTTTAAAGCTACACAAAATTTGTAAATGTTATTGAAATAAACAGACAGCCCACTTCCCTATTTTTCGGATTTTGGAAGATGTGTGATAACAGTTGAAATTGTTGTCGTAAAGGCAAGAGGCAAGAGTTGAAATTGTTGTAGTAAGGATTAACACACCGCTAACCCAAATGTAGACTGTCCCTCTATGTCACCTAGCAGCAGACACGTTTCTGGTGTGCAAAGACACAGAAAACGCGACGCAGCTGACACGCAACAGAAACGCCACGCTCACGCCACGCAGCCAGTGTGTCTCCGGCCTAACGAGCGTTGCTTGCTACAACACCTTGTCTTTCTAGAAGAAAATTGTCCAATTTCTACAGTATGTTGGTTCTGATCTACTTCCTAAAGGAAATAAGCCTTTCATTTATTTGTTATTGTTTAGTTCAACTTGATGAGTCACAACACAATGTGATGTATTCATTTCTGTGTTCTACAGAACATAAGCTACATACAAATAATTCTGAAGTTATAACTACACGACACAGAAAGTGCTTTGAGTTGTTGTTACTCAATAAAAGAGTTAAGTAATTCAGCAGCTGACTTTTTTAAATACTGCAAACACTTTGTAGTGTATTTTCGTTTACTGTTGTGAAATGGAAAATCAATAATCGCTAATCGCTAATCGAGAATCGTTAATAATCGAAAATCGACTGTAATCGAATCGGGACTTCAATAATCGTAATCGAATCGAATCGGGAAATCAGACCGATTAACCACCCCTAGTATGGATGCACTTTTATGATGTATGGATGCACTTTTATGATGGATAGATGCACTTTTATGATGGATAGATGCACTTTTATGATGTATGGATTAGGGGTGGGACGATACAGGTACCTCACGATTCAATTCTGTGGCAATATGTGGTCCACGATATGATAATATCACGATTCGCGATATCTACGATATTCAATATATTGGAAGAAATTTCATCAACGATATATCACGATATATGTGACTGAAAAGAAAAAGAAGGAATAAGGAAATAATCAGGCACAAAAATAATAAGGCACACGAATATACTTTTGTCTAGTTTCGCCATTTTGAACTGAAAATAGCCTATGCAACGTGAATCATGTTAATGTAATAATTAGTTTACTGTCATTGTGAGGGGAAAAGCCGTTTTCATTATGTTAGGCACAAGATTAATAATGCATGTGTACATATTGAGAATTAATATACCGTAAAACTTCCCGGGTTTTTATTTTCCCAAATCGTCGAACTGCACCGGCTTGTATTTGAGACAGGCGTCTATATGAGACAGGCCTTTATAATTTAGTGTTGAGATGTTGTTCATTGAGTTTAGGCGAGTCTCTAATCTCTAAAAATCTCCAAATGCTCCACGTGGAACTGCGGTCTTCCGACCTTTTATTATCGTGTCAATTGATTTTGATTAATATGCGCGAGGGAGAGAGCAAGACAGCGCTCGTGTTGTTTGAAGACGTGAGAGTGCGCGCGCGGCCGTTGCGCTCTCTCTGCTCGTAAAACCCAAAGTGTCTCCACACTTTAGAGTGGAAACTAGCGGGTGGGTCTTTGATTAGTTTTTTATTTTTTCCGCCATTCTTCTCGCTTCTCTTTTTTTCTGCAATTCTCTGTTGTTGTTGTTAGTTAACTTGTGTTCTTCACCGGCCGCTGTTTGCGCCACTTTACCCCTATTTACTCGAACAGCGCCCCCGCAAACAGAATGGTAGATATGGGTAGTGACAGTGACACTGACAACGGGTAAATTAATCATTTTGTGTTGTAATAAAATATCGATATTGGGCGTTAGTGTATCGATTATTTATTGCGACAGAGAGCACAACAATATATTGCAATATCGATTTTTTTTCCCACCCCTAGTATGGATGCACTTTTATCATGGATAGATGCACTTTTATGATGTATGGATGCACTTTTATGATGTATGGATGCACTTTTATGATGTATGGATGCACTTTTATGATGGATGGATGCACTTTTATGATGTATGGATGCACTTTTATGATGTATGGATGCACTTTTATGATGTATGGATGCACTTTTATGATGTATGGATGCACTTTTATGATGTATGGATGCACTTTTATGATGTATGGATGCACTTTTATGATGGATGGATGCACTTTTATGATGGATAGATGCACTTTTATGATGTATGGATGCACTTTTATGATGGATGGATGCACTTTTATGATGGATAGATGCACTTTTATCATGGATAGATGCACTTTTATGATGGATAGATGCACTTTTATTATGGATAGGTGCACTTTTATCATGGATAGATGCACTTTTATGATGGACAGATGCACTTTTATCATGGATAGATGCACTTTTATGATGGATAGATGCACTTTTATCATGGATGGATGCACTTTTATGATGGATAGATGCACTTTTATGATGGATAGATGCACTTTTATGATGGATAGATGCACTTTTATCATGGATAGATGCACTTTTATGATGGATAGATGCACTTTTATGATGTATGGATGCACTTTTATGATGGATAGATGCACTTTTATGATGTATGGATGCACTTTTATGATGTATGGATGCACTTTTATGATGGATAGATGCACTTTTATGATGTATGGATGCACTTTTATGATGAACAGATGCACTTTTATGATGGATAGATGCACTTTTATGATGGATAGATGCACTTTTATGATGGATAGATGCACTTTTATGATGGATAGATGCACTTTTATGATGTATGGATGCACTTTTATGATGGATAGATGCACTTTTATGATGTATGGATGCACTTTTATGATGTATGGATGCACTTTTATGATGGATAGATGCACTTTTATGATGTATGGATGCACTTTTATGATGTATGGATGCACTTTTATGATGTATGGATGCACTTTTATGATGTATGGATGCACTTTTATGATTATCTTCTGTACAGCTGATATTGAAGCTGCATCATTTGATTTGGATATTCTCCTACTTATTATTGCAATCTGTACTGCGCAAAATTAAAACGTACTTTTACTTCTTTGAAAAAACTATGCATTACATAATAAAAGTTCATATATTTATTAATGCACAACAGTGCCACAAATTAAATATAAACAGTGATACAATAATGTAATTTTAAAAATGCCATACCTGATAAACAAATATAAAACACATTGTAAGTATGCAATAATAACAGTATAGTAACATAACGCCACATATTATTAATATGTTAATGCAAAAACTGAAACTAGAGAACAATAATAGGAACACTTTACAATAAGGTTCATTAGTTAACAATGTATAAACTAATATGAACTAACCATGAGCAATACATTTGTTAGTTTTTTTATCTTTGTTAATGTTAGTTAATAATAATCCAGCTGTTAATTGTTTGTTAGTTTTAGTTCACGGTGCATTAACTAATGTTAACAAGTACAACCTTTGACTTTAATAACGTATTAGTAAATGTTGAAATGAATATTAACTAAGATGAACAAATGCTGTAGAAGTATTGTTCATTCTTAGTTCATGTTCACTAATGAACCTTATTATGAAGTGTTACACATACCACAATAACATGCACATGAAAACATATAAATGTGTCATAATGTGGCAAGTGGAGTTTTCTAGAACCAATAATCGGTAACATTTTGGCGCGCACGTCTGACGTCATCACGCCCAACTCCCAGCTGCCTCACAATGGAGGAAATTTAAAATCCCATTCAGCGCGCGCGCGTTTTACATACAGTATGCAACAATTAATGTGCACCATGCATTAAACAGAATAGAAACTCAAAGCTTAAATTTAATAAACGCTAATAAATTATAACTGTGTGCTAGTATTAGGCTATATAAAACGGAATGCATTGCTACTTGTACAGTACTAGTAACTGGTATAGTGATTTAGTTCACCTTTAAGTGCTCCGGGCAGGAGTTGAGATCGGATTCGGCGGGAGAACCGCTGTTTCGGGTCGGGGATCCGGTACCGCTGCCCGAACCGGGGCTCAGAGTCACATTGTGCGCGTTTTCACCCCAACGCCACGGATAAACCATGAAGTCACTGAATCCGGGGCTGGTGGGCATCAGAGAATCTGCTTTCGGTTTGATCGGGGTCGTTTTGATCACGGACACCAAAACTCTTTTTGGAGAATCGTTACAAAATATCATTTGATGTTTGCTGTCAGCCATTTCCATTAAGTGCAGTAAAAAAACTGGATCTTAAAACCGTTGTTAAAATATTTAAAAACAAATCCAAAGTGAAAATAAGTGCAGATGGAAGGAATATCCCGCCGTTAACGTCCTGCCGTTAGTCGTTTAATAATAAAGTCAGTCATTCCCAATGTTACATGTATCACTGTTCCAGCGCGCGGTGCCTTTGATTCCGCTCGCTCTCACTGGCAGGAGTTTGATACAGTGACCCGATCGCACTCGCTATTTTCCCGCGTTGGAAATCGCGCCCGAGCGCAGCGCCCAGCCAATCGTTAAAGAGGACGTTACAGCGCTCGCGCCGAACAACCACTCAGCACACGCTGTGAGATTCGCTCAGCGCACAGTAACCAATCAGAGACCGCGAACAATTCCTTGACTCTGAACAGAACGTCCAACACTTTTAAATATGGCAGAGCGCGCTCTTTCTGACAGACGTGACCGTTATCCAATCACATGGCGTCTTGTGTAGTCTAGGGGGCGTGTTCTTGTGAATTCTTCTTTCCTGCTGCTAAACGTCTCCCGCGCATAATGTTTACATTTACATCGATTTAAAGGGAAAGGCGGGCGATGACGGTGGCGCGAAATGACGTAATCAAACCGTCTTTTGTGTTTTAGCAGCTGTCGCCATACAATGTGATGCATAAAACCCTTTAACTATTGTTTAAGGCCCTTCTGCGTGAAACAGCTGCAGTATTTTGAAATAATTTCCATATTTCACCATCTTTAGCAATGTCTATCTGATTGTGACTTAAAACTTTTTTGCCCTCTGATGTCCATATTATATATGCAATTTATAATAAATATCTTTTTTTTTCTATAGCGCCTTTAACTGTACATCTCAAAGCGCTTTACATAAACAAATAAAACGACAAAAATACACCATATAAAATTACAGCAACAAAATGCACCATATTAAATAATGCACAATGAAAAATTGATACAAATATTAAATTAAAACCTAAAAGTTTTAAGGTAAAATATAAAAATGCTAAGAGATGTTGCCTAATCTCGATCGGTAAATATTTCAGTTTTAATTTACGGAAATCTCTTTATTTAGGGATTAAATGATGAAGCTGTCAAAGAATAAACCCATGTTTGTGTTGTTGTTGTTTTTTACACAGGATTGCAATTATTGTTATTTTGGGCAGATTTGCATGCTTAAATTCTCTGTAAACTTGTTAGATTTCATCTGATTTAGCTTTTCAAACTATATTATAAACAAGTATACCAAGTCTTGGATTTCAATGGCTTCAATTGTCTGCTAGATAAGGATTTACATTTTTTTTTAATGATTCCCATCACAACAAAGAGTAATTTCTAGTCAATTAAATATTAATCAGAGCTGATCAAGCATAACTAGAAGAGTTATATTTACTATAGAAATTGTGTCCAAAAATCTGATTACACATTTAAATAAATCAATACAGTATGAAATATAATGACGTTCAATCATTAAACACAACGTAACTGCAGAAAGGATTTATTGAAAGGGATATGACTCAAATCCTTTCCTATTATATATAATATATATATATATATACACGTGAAATTATCATGATTTAAATTTGGTCATCAAAATAAAAGGTATGCATTATTTACAGTAAAAAAAACAATCTATCAAATTCCAGCTTATATACAGCTTTCAGTCATGATTCTTACAGTTAACAAAGTACTAGAATTAATAAAGTACTAGATACAGTATTAAAAACGATATTAGTAATGCATAATTAACAAAGGCAGCGTCTGACACTCATGATATTTACAACGGGATAAAACGTCTAACTTCACAGATGCTTAAAGCTTTCTCTGATAAAAAAAAAAGAAGAAGATTTTTTTACACTTTATAAACTAAAAATGCTGATTTTTCAATGAACACAGATTCCCTGTTGGTAGTAGATCACTCAGACGAGCCCAGAGACCCATGAAGACGTGAAGCTGGCGTGATGACATCAGCGCAGGCGATGGTTCAGCGGAGGAGAGGCGCTCGAGCGTTGGACATGGAGTTACTGTGAAGACAAGAGACGCTTTAAACACCAAACCAACGTGTGCAAACGCCCAGAGCACAACATGCACATGCTTTAAACACACAGGAACGCTCTAGAAGTGAAAAGCAGAAGGAAGCTAAAGAAGAAACAACGATACCATGGCCTCTGAAAGCGCACCGATGGCATTGCGTGAAGCACTCTCCTTCTTCCGGACAGAGATCGTCTATTACAGGCACGATTGCAAAGGCAGTGAAAAGATAAAAACCCATTAAAACTAAATCTCAGATCCTGTTAGTGTTCATGTTTCAGAGGCCCGTTCACAGCTGGTGTCATTCACACGTCTTTAATGCTCTGAAGTTTGATTAATGTGTTTATTTGATCAAAAATACACAGTAAAAATAGTGAAATATTATTATTATGTAAACATCTGTTTTCTATGTGAATATACAGTAAAGTGTAATTTATTCCTGTGATTTTCAGCATCATTACTCCAGTCTTCAGTGTCACATGATCCTTCAGAAATCACTCTAATATGAGGATCTGATGCTCAAGAAACATTTATGATTATTATCAATGTTCATATTTCTGTGGAAGTTTGGGGTAATAAAAAAAAAAAAAAAACTTTTATCCATCAAGGATGCATTAAATTGATCAAATTGTCAGTAAAGACATTTATAATGTTACAAAAGAATCTTTTTCGAATAAACGCTGCTCTTTTCAACTTTCTATTCATCAAAGAATCCTGAAAAATAAAATGCATCTCAGTTTCCACAAAAATATGATCATAAATGTTTCTTGAGCATCAGATCCTCATATTAGAGTGATTTCTGAAGGATCATGTGACACTGAAGACTGGAGTAATGATGCTGAAAATCACAGGAAAAAATTACACTTTACTGTATATTCACATAAAAAATTTTTTAATCATTTTTACAGTATTTTTAATCAAATAAATGCAGCCTTGGTGATCATAAATTCCAAGCTTTAAAACTAGAGCTTTAAATAAACACTGCATTTGCATGCAGATTTAAAAGCTTAAATATATCCTGAGATAAGCCTGATCAGAGCCGCTGTGTGTGAGACGCAGGTGTAAACGGGTCGACTCGTGATCACGGTTCTGCAGAACTCATCTGATAACTCAATCATGACGACACGTCTGAACCAGCGCTGGGCAACGACTAACCACATCCACAATACCTGTGTGCTTACACATAATATATGTGTGTGTATAACTGTATAGAATTACTTTGCATATATAAATACACGCAAATATTTCTTAAATATATACATGTTATAAATATTTAATATATAATATAAATTGTGTAAATGTATATACATGCAAATATTTCTTAAATATATACATGCGTGTGTATGTATCTACATTTACACAATTTATATTATATATTAAATATTTATAACATGTATATATTTAAGAAATATTTGCATGTATATACATTTACACAATTTATATTATGTATTAATATATTAAATATTTATAACACGTATATATTAAAGAAATATTTGCATGTACATTTACACAATTTATATTATAAATAAATATTTTATATATTAATAACACATTTTTCATAAATATATACACATGCATGTGTGTGTATATTTATATATACAAAGAAATATTTGCATGTATATACATTTAAACAATTTATATTATATATTAATATATGAAATATGTATATTAATAACACATGCATATATTTAATAAATATTTGCATGCATGTACATTTACACAATTTATATTATAAATAAATATTTTATATATTAATAACACATTTTTCATAAATATATACACATGCATGTGTGTGTATATTTATATATACAAAGAAATATTTGCATGTATATACATTTAAAAAAATTATATTAAATATTAATATATGAAATATTTATATTAATAACACATGCATATATTTAATAAATATTTGCATGCATGTACATTTACACAATTTATATTATATATTAATATATTAAATATTTATAACATGTATATATTTAAGAAATATTTGCATGTACATTTACACAATTTATATTATAAATAAATATTTTATATATTAATAACACATTTTTCATAAATATATACACATGCATGTGTGTGTATTTATATATACAAAGAAATATTTGCATGTATATACATTTAAACAATTTATATTATATATTAATATATGAAATATTTATATTAATAACACATGCATATATTTAATAAATATTTGCATGCATGTATATTTACACAATTTATATCATAAATAAATATTTTATATATTAATAACACATTTTTCGTAAATATATACACATGCATGTGTGTGTCTATATATACAAAATAATTATACACAGTACACACATTATATAAAGACAAATTTTTGATGCGATGAATCGTTGCACAGCCCATATATACATACACACACACACATATATATATATATATATGTATAAAAGCTTTAAACAAAGTGTTAGAGTAATATTTTGCAGTGCATTGAGAAACTCTTTATATTTCTGTTATATAAAAACATGAAACAAGCATTTACTGTAAAGCTGCTTTGAAACGATATGCATTGCGAAAAGCGCTATATAAATATACTACTTTAATTTTGGATGCGACTAACAGTTGCCCAGCACTAATGCAGACTGAACCATGATCGAGTCGTCCATGTTAGCGTGTTAGCGTGCTAGCAGAGCCGAGAGCCGCTGAGCCGTCAGAGTCATGCAGGGGAGACGAGAGTGTGTACGGCCCCGATCACACGGCTCCCGGGACTCACTGCGCTCAGGGAACTCATGCCAGAGTAAGTCCTCCTGTGCGGCTTTAAGTGCGCTAAGTTCGACTGCTGGATGAAACTACTGGTGGCCATAGAGCCAGCGCTAACGCCGTCCGTTTCACAGGCCGTTACGTGCAAGCTGCCTAAAGATCTAGCGAGCCTTGAATGTAAAGGGCTGTGAAAGGAAAACGTCATCCATCACACTAGAGCTCTGCTCAAGATGCTGCAGTGATTTAATGCAGAAAGGCATGGAAACCTCATTGAAGGACTCAGGACTCACCCACTGGTGCTGATGGAGCCGAGCGACGCGCGGGTTCTCTTCCGCTGGGCCGAGCTGCGTGAGGAACCGCTTACAGGTTACATCAAAGTCCAGCATTTATCATTAAAAAATGAATAAATCTCAGTAATTGAATACCAATGCTCTAAATAATTAAATATGACAAATTTAAATACATAAAAAAAAAAAAAATGTATTTGTCAGTAATTGAACACCAATGTTATCAATAATTTCATATTAAAAATAAACAAATCAAAATAAAATACTTGTTTAAAAAAACAAATCTAGTTTTTGTCATTTAATTATTTAGATTAATGGTATTTGATTACTGACATAAACTAGATTTTTTAAAGCAAGTATTTTCTTTTGATTTGTTTATTTTTAATATTAAATTATTAATAGCATTGGTGTTCAATTACTGACAAATACTATTTAAAAAATTTTTTTTAAATTTGTCATATTTAATTATTTAGATTATTGGTATTTGATTACTGACTAGATTTTTCTTTTTTAAGAAAGTATTTTATTTAGATTTTTACAAATTTTTATACTTTTACGGTACTATACATTTATAGCATTGGTGTTTGATTACTGACAAATAATTTTTTTTGTTTTTTAAATGCATTTAAATTTGTCATATTTAATTATTTAGATTAATGGTATTTGATTACTATTACAAATTTAAATACATTTTAAAATTAAAATAAATAATTGTATTTGTCAGTAATTGAACACCAATGCTATAAATAATTAATTAAACATTAAAAATCAACAAATCAAAATAAAACACTTGCTTAAAATCTTTTTTTTGTCAGTAATTAAAAACCAATAAAATTGTAATTAATATTTAAAAAATAAAAAATAATAATAAAAAGTAATAAAAAGATTAGTCAGTAATGGTATAGCACCAATGCTATAAATTAATTAAATATAAAAAAAATTAAAGTTAAAAATTAAAACAAATCAAAATAAAATACTTTCTTAAAAAAAATCTATTTTTTTCTCAGTAATGGAATACCAAAAATCTAAATAATTAAATATAAAAAAATGCAAGTAAATAATTTTAAAAATAAAAAATATATATTTAAAAAAGCAAAATATTTTATTTGTTTAGCTACATAACATGACAATGTGAATATGTTGATTATTTTAGCTATATTAACCTAAAATCTCAGGGGATCGACTGACAAAACAACCCTTTTACAACCTCGCATACGTAATTGTAAGATATCGCCCCATGTCCTTTTAACAAGGATATAATTACAGAGTACACAGTATTATTAAAATAAATAAGAAAAGTTACCTTAATGACTTTGATGTTGATTTGGTGTGAATTGTATTTTCCTCCAGCCTGCAAGCAAAGAAAAAAACAAAGTTTCATAAATATTTAAAAGCATATTCTCTACAGCCGCCGCCAAATCATACAACATGCTTTTATACGGTCATTCAGCAAACTTAATAATCGAGAGCAAAAAACATGATTTCTGTGGATTTGGCCGTTCACGCATTCCAGCATTCGGCTCATAATAACACTGATCTCTACACCAATAACACACTATCCTCAGAAATATGAATCAGAAATAATTGTGCATTGATTATAACAGAACTTTGAACTATGATGATGATGATTGACAGCTTATTAGTGATATAGAGGAAGTGATTACGCTTCAATATGCAATACATTTCATTGCTATTTGATATTGTTTGCATCATTAATGTTTTGTTAGTGGAGCTTTTGTGAAATGTATAGGAATAATGCAAAATGATTTTGGTGTCGTTTTAATATAGAACATGATCAATTTCAGTTTATATGTGGATTCTTTTACACAAAACATTGTTTTTTAAAGCAGCTTTATGAATATTAGCTCGTTTGGGGCTTTAATAAAGCAAGGAGAAAAACTCTATAAGACATTTAGATAAAGAGGGACAGACACAAAACACACATAAACTGTCCAGTTACATAAAGTATGTTATATGTCATGTTTCCGAATTACAGGTGAAACTGGAAAAATTAGAATATGGTGCAAAAGTTCATTTATTTCAGTAATTCAACTTAAAACTAATATATTATATAGACTCATTACATGCAAAGTGAGATATTTCAAGCCTTTATTTGTTATAATTGTGATGATTATGGCTTACAGATATGAAACCCCCAAAAATTATAACAAATAAAGGCTTGAAATATCTCACTTTGCATGTAATGAGTCTATATAATATATTAGTTTTAAGTTGAATTACTGAAATAAATGAACTTTTGCACCATATTCTCATTTTTCCAGTTTCACCTGTAAGTGTGTGAATCACGATCAGACTTTCACAGAGTATTAGATGAACCTCATGGATCTGATTTAAAAGAGCATAATAATAATAATAATCCTCCAGTGGAGTTGAAGGATTGTTCCAGGTTTAAACACACACTTTAAGCTCTATTGACCGCATAATGCCCATTACCACAGAAAATACATGACTTGACCCTCAGATTTTTAAGACAAAATTTAAATAAATATATTGGGTTGCACACAGTTTTAAAAAGTACAGCCACAAAAGTCACGTATTAACCTGGTTATGTACATTTATATATTTATATATATATATATATTACTGGCATTGCAAATGCTTTACTGGAATTTTGATTCTATTTTACTAAAGTCCCCCTGTGGTGTAAATCCAGCGTTTAATGTTGTTTATGTGTCTATGTGGTGTTTTTAATACGCTTTAAGACACACATGTGTAAGTTCATAAGTCGACAGCATTGCTGAGTATTTCCTCCTTAAAACTGCAGTGAACCAAAGACAGTCTCAAAAACACGGTTTGAAATCGCTGGTGTTTCTGACGTCACAAACGACCTTGTAACCAATCAGATCAACGTGTGATCGTCAACCAGTGGATCTCTGAGCTGAGGGAGTGAGTGGAGGCGGGGCTCATTTGCATATTCATAGAACCGCACATACTAAAAGATGCGAGGGTGTCGAGTTACATTCAAGATATTTTAAGGAAAAAACGTTTAAATATGTAATTTAGGTGATCAAAGATGAGTTACGGGATATAATTATTGGCTACAGGGGGACTTTAAAAAAAAACTGTCAGTGATTTATTGTTGGTTATTCAACATGAACCCACAAATGCTGAAAATAGAGCTTATCGTTCGTAAAAATCAACCCGAGATGTTCCTAAAGGAGTAACACAACGCTGTCTCTCAGTTTTCAGGACGCCTGTGATGTTAGTAAAGGATGATCCGTCGAGACACTTACAGCGTTCCAGTCCAGAGAAGGGCTAAGAGAGTGACGGGAGAAAGCATTTACAATCCCACCCCGTCTATACAGTAATGGATGGAAGGGAAGCCAAACAACATCCAGCAGAAGACAACGCTACAGAGAGCAGAGAGCAGCAAAGCTAGCGGCCATCTGAACACAGGGGCGAAATTCAGAACAACAACACAAACACAAGGAAGGAAGACAAGTCTTTCCCATCACTGCACACTGGACGGATCTGCAGTCGAAACCACATTTCTGCAGTGCTTTAAAGTGCCCTTATTATGCTAATAAAGCTCCTAATGTTGTTCTATAATATGTTCACATGCGTCCAAAGTCAAAAACACTAGTTTCCTCATAATCTCCATTACAGCATCAGCTCTTTTCTCTCAGTGTCTGAAACGCTTCGATTGAAGATTCAGTCTCTAAGCTCCGCCTCTCTGAGAGCTGCTCTGCTGTGATTGGTCAGAAAGCAAACGCTCATTATCATATCTGAATCTCAGCTCTTGATACGAACAGTAACGATGGCGTTGGTTTTACCGTATCAAACAGCGTCTTCGACATGAACAACACGAACCGAACTCTTCCAGTCTCAGATACACTAGTGTTTGAGGGCGGAGCTTAGAGACGCTGTTCAGCCAATCAAGACCAGAGGCGGGCATTATGCAAATTAGTTACAAAGCTAAAAGGACGAGAGACTGAATAACTGACAGATGTTCAGAATCGACCTTCTTTTGGGAGATAATAACATAATTTCTAAGTGAAATTTCTACATTTTTCCTATGTGATATATAATAATAATCTTCGCAGACTTTTTCCATTCACAAACGGCTGCTATATTACACACTACATGAAAGATAATATCCCAAAAAGCATAATAGGGGCACTTTAAACAAGGAGTAAATGCTCTTTATAGACACTTACAATAATACAAAATTTAAGCCTAAAAATTTAATTTAGATGGAATTTAATTGTAAATCGAATTCAATCTGTGTCTGAGATCAGATCCAGTTTACAGTGCAATTGAAAAAGACGATCAAAGCAAAACTGGCCACAGTGTGTCACAAAGCAGTTCACACACTTCATGCAAACATACATCATCAAACATCATCATGCAAAGCCAAGACTTTGTTAGAACATCAAAAAAGGATTGAAGATGTTATAAGAAAGATCAGAGCCGTCTGTGAAGCTGGAGAATAATATAGTCCTTTTACACTTTTAGACCCATTAAACGATTCAACAAGTGTAGATACGCTTCCGTTGTGGCGAATGAAGTCTGTCACGTTAGAGATCAGGAGGAAACTGCGGCGGCTCTGGCCGAGCTAAGCTAAACGCTATTGGCTATTTAAAAAGGGGGAGGAGCTGATTGATATGCCCCGCCCTCAGTGGAAATGACACCAACGCAGTGAATAATGCTGCACGATTCGCACTTCAGTGGGACTTTATGGTATAAATTACAGATTCAGATTAGGGGTTGAACCGACTAGTCGACCTTAATGAAATACCGCGACGCTTTAAGCTTGACGTCGACTAGTCGCGTTGATCATGTGACACTATGATTGCGCTACTTTTGATACTAACATGTTGCAGACGACAACAGATGAAGAGCCCAGAGGGTCATTCCAGCAAGAAAGCAGCATTGGTACATCAAGTGTGTGTAAATACTTTACTAACCTAACACTAGATATTGTTGAAAACGAAAGTAAAAGCATGACGCACGCTCACTGTTTTACCGGAAATGAGAGTTTAGTATCTTTATTAAAATCATTAAAACATTTTTTTTCCATTTATTTATTTATTTAAACGTATTAATGATGTAGGCCTAGCTAATTCACCCGCAATTAATTGGAATATTATTTTGTATTACTTGGATCTGCGCATCACTAAGGCACAGATGTGAATTTATAGCTTTTTTTCCTTTTCTTTTCATCCTAAATGATGATGTAACTGCGGGCTGTTTACACCAGGGCACTTCATGTGTTTCTGTGATCTGATAGCTATATCCGATCGTGAAAAGACCAGGTGTAAATGCCCTCCGAAACGCACTCGAGACGGATTTAAATCCGATCGCTCACACCGCTTCAGGAGGAGGTCTGGGCCGCTTAACAGACGAAACTGGACAAGTGTAAATGCACCTGGTTGTTGAAACTGGACTTCTCCCAACAATGCTAAAAATAAACGTGTGAGAGCGTATTATAGCGATGAAGCTATGGCAACACGCATCGCCGCAGATGAGCAGCTCGAGCATCTCTTCATCAAGCCAAATCAAAGTGAAAGTAAGTCGCAGACGCTTAACACACAATCATCTTCATTAAAAGTAAAGAAACAGAAATGATCTAACCAGTGCTGTCTCTCTTATTGCGGTCTTTGATTTTGAAATTAGCTGATGATCAATAAAATGCAGCTCATTATTGTTGCTTTCGGTGACGTGAACTCCGTTAAATCTGCATAGCGCGTTGTTTGAAGATCGGATTTATATCGGTTTTGCCAAAACATATTTATGTGACCAGGACAGGTGTAGGCTAAATGGCATCGTTTTGATAAATCAGATCAGTAAAAACGCATGAAGTGACCAGGTGTAAACAGCCCCATTATGAGCTGTCTGTCAGCATCTGTATAATTTTCTGTTAATTAATTGCAAATTGTGGCATGTTGCAAAGCAGTCCCATCTCTTGTGTGTTTATGAATGACGTCATCGACTAGTCGACTCGACTTTGATGTCATAACAGTCGACTTCAAAAAATCTGAAGTCGTTCAACCCCTAATTCAGATAAAATGTTACTATTTACCGACAATGAACCAGTTTAAAATTAGGATAAAGGACTATTTGAGTACTAAATGTGCCGTTACTGAATCTCAATGGGATTATTTCCTGGTAAAATAAAGGTAAATAATAAATAAGCTTCTTCTGAGACTAAATTTAAAGCAGTGTCTCCTAGAGATTTCAAGCTACAACCACCAGACGGTTCTGACTCGCGTTGCTATTAGGGATGTGCACGAATATTACAATTATCGAATATTCGATCTGTAATTATTAATATATAAAGATGTATAGTAAAGCTTGTTGTGTATATTGCCTAATGTAAGCTTGTTCAGAAATGGTTAAAAAACAAACAAAAAAACTCTTAAACGACATTTAAATAAACGAATAATCTATTTTTATGACCCCGAATATTCAAATACAATATTTTTGAAATAGTTAGTTGCTATATCTTTTCTAACTGATCCTACGGACGATCAAAACTATAGACTTTCATTGAGGGGGTCAAAAGACTCTGTTGCCGAAACAACAACAACGTTCTCAGTCGAACGTGGAAGCAAAACAAAAGCGCTAAATGAAATGAAGACCTGCAACAGCCACATGTTGGTTACGATGGGCGATGATGATGTCACAGACTCACCTGAACGCCATTCTGCTACCGTTTCAACGACACACAACAGTCGGGCCACAGCGAGCCCAGAAAACTGCAACACTTTACTACCATTCGCCTGCTGTGTGATAAAAGGCTTTTGGGGTCTTTCTCGTCTCGCCAGCACAATCATTAACAGGAAGACTGATGTTTTAACCTCTAAAACATGCAGTTAGTCTATACAAGTCATGCACACACACTTAAACATCCATCATTAGCGGGAAAACCACTATTTATGCAGTTATCCGGTGGGGGAATCGACCGGACGAGTGTCTAACGCGGTTCACATCCACTGGCGCGCCGCTTTCTCGTTCATTTCCTAGTTCAAGTTAATGGTGGGATTTACTAAGATCTCTAAATTATAAACATGATCAAAACGCACTTTTTTTAAATTAAGAAAGTCTTTCAGTGTAACTGTACAAGCGTCCTCCTTCAGCTCGAGCTTCACGAGTCTTTCTGTGTCAAATCTGCACTGATTTATATCAAGTAAACGCATTAATAACTTTCATATTGTTAGTGATATTTCAGCTGGACTGAAGCAGCTTCGCTTTACTTGATCATCCATTATATTAAATATGATCATCAGGTTTTTTTTTTTCATCTCTCAATCATCATTGCATTGCATTATGTTTTAAAACTACTGCTTTGATAATAAAACTAAGCATTTAAATATAATCTCACTGAGACATTATTGGCAGATATTAATATGTATATGCATTTTATGCAAGTATCTGCTATACTGTTATAAAGATCTCATTTATTTACATTATACGCGTCAATTTCATTTACAAGTGACACTCGAAAAATCAGAATATGGTGCAAAAGTTCATTTATTTCAGTAATTCAACTTAAAAGGTGAAACTAATATATTATATAGACTCATTACATGCAAAGTGAGATATTTCAAGCCTTTATTTGTTATAATTGTGATGATTATGGCTTACAGATATGAAAACCTTTTCACAATATTCTAATTTTGCATTTGGGGTTTTCATATCTGTAAGCCATAATCATCACAATTATAACAAATAAAGGCTTGAAATATCTCACTTTGCATGTAATGAGTCAATATAATATATTAGTTTCACCTTTTAAGTTGAATTACTGAAATAAATGAACTTTTGCACCATATTCTGATTTTTCGAGTTTCACCTGTAAATATCAGCATCTGCAACATATTTTTGCTCAGTTTGAGCCTCTGAATAAAATTAAGCCTATATGAGCCATGATGTATCTAAAGATTCGTTTAGATTTAATAAACAGTCAAAAAATCTAGTTTTTTTAAATGGAATAATTTCAGGCTTTAAAGTGTTAAATTGTTACACATCACCTTTAATTCAGATTTCAAATGCAGATTGCCTGCATTCATCGTATCTTTGTAGCAATAAACCAACAACCAAAGCTCACAAAAGCCTGGGAATTTGAAATAAAAGTTGGTATTTTCTGAAATCATAAACACGATATCTTTATTAACTGTTGCATAGAGAGCAATCAATCACAGACTGCACTGAAGACTTGCAGGATCGAGCCGGTTTCTCCAGCGCCAGTGGACACGCACCGTCAGGCTCAATGGACACGCGTGTGTGTGTGTGTGATGGACAGGCACCGTCAGGCTCGATGGACACGTGTGTGTGTGTGTGTGTGATGGACACGTGTGTGTGTGACGGACAGGAGAGGGGATGTAATGGAGAAGAACTTACGATAGTGAGCCCGTGGACGCTCTGGACTGCCTCTTACTCTTCAGAGCTCGTAGTTTATCGCCCTGCGTGAGACCGCCACACTCCTCTTCATCTTCCTCAGTGTGCTGGAGACATGAACAACACCTCTGGTTAACCACAGAGCAACACACAGTCTGAAAACCGTCTCCATTGACTAGGACGTTCGAAAATCGATCGGACCAACCAACACAAGTATCGAAAATGAAAATAGGGAATCGATCTTAAAGGCCTTTTGTTTTTTTTTGTTTTACCAAAAATGTGTTTTAGGACAGATCAATACAGGACACAGAACATGTCGGATCCTGGAAAATAACTGTCTTTTCTGTTCACCAAATGCTTTCTAATATTCGCTATTACTTCAATGCAAGTGAACAAGCGCGCCGTTATTTGTTGCGTAGTGACGTGTGTGTGTGTGTGTGTTCAAGTAAGCCAGAAATGAGCAGATTCTGTGTAATACGCTGTATATCATGAGGATCACGAGTTGTGTATTTGCGCTAAATCCGCGCAGAGCATAAAAAGCAACAAATCGGACCTAACTTTATGTTGTTGGCCAAGACGTACACCTAAACTGAATTATTAGTGTAGTTACTCACCGTTTCAGAGCCTGTTCTCCTCTGTGAAATGTTCTTGTTTGTGCCATTGATGGAAATATCTTCTACTCCGGACAGGATTCCAGCCACTGCCGTTTTACTCGAGCCGTTTTCCTGCTCATTTACACTCACGTTTTGACGGTACAGATCACCCTCTGCCCAGAGGCTCGACTGCTTTCTGTTAGATCGAGACGCGTATACATCAGTATTAGGCCTAGATTGGTATATACACAGTACTGGTCAAATGTTTGGAATAATTAAGATTTTTAATGTGTGTGAAAGAGTCTCTTCTGCTCACCAACGCTGCTTTTATTTGATCAAAAATACAGTGAAAATAGTGAAATATTATTGCAGTTTAAATCAGCTGTTTTCTATGTTAATATATAGTAAAGTGTAATTTATATCATGTGATCAAAGCTGAATTTCAGCATCATTACTCCAGTCTTCAGTGTCACATGATCCTAGAAATCACTGAGGATTTGCTGCACAAGAAACATTTATGATTATTATCAAGTTCATATTTTTGTGAAAACAGATTTTTTTCCTCAGGATTGTTGATGAATAAAGTTCAAAAGAGCAGCGGTTATTTGAAACAGAACCTTTTGTAACATTATAAATGTTTTTACTGGTCACTTTTGATATATTAGAGTGATTTCTGAAGGATCATGTGACACTGAAGACTGGAGTAATGATGCTGAAAATTCAGCTTTGATCACATGATATAAATTACACTTTACTATATATTCACATAGAAAACAGCTGTTTAAATTGCAATAATATTTCACTATTTTTACTGTATTTTTGATCAAATAAAAGCAGCCTTGGTGAGCAAGCATTAATCAAAATTACAGTACTCCAAACTTTTGACCGGTACAATATCTACACTGTTGTGGATTAAAGCGTTCGCAGAATCACCCACTCTTCAACAAAGTTCTGTTGCGGTCCAATGACTGATCCGGGTCTGCAGATCCTGATCCATGCGATGGCTTCGGCTGCAGTCAGTCTGAAGTGCTTCATCATGTAACAGCCAATCAGAGTCCCCGTTCGGCCCAGACCCGCTGAAACACACAGTGGTTACAATTTCACAATCCGATTCAATATATAATCTGGATTATTTTGGATATCAGGTCCAATACATGGCAAATCATCTCAAGGAAAACAAATCTCTTAACTAATGCTGTAAACTATGTGAGTCTATAGGCTTCATTAGCCTACTATAATATTGGCTGATTTGTATACAAACCCTTAAATTACACTTTTATTTATTTTTAATAATAATACAGTTACATGAAATATAAACATTTAAATGGTGGCTGTCATAAAAACTTGCCAGATTTATTCAAACTTGAAGAACATTAAAAATTATAATGAATATGTAATATGGTGCATATATTTAGCAAAATGCTCCTCTCTAGAGTTAATATTTCTAGCTGACTAACGAGTTTATGGTCACTGGATATGGTTTTTCTGAGGTAAATGTTTACAAGCTGTTACTGACGTCTTTCCACGGTTGAAACACTGAGCGATTCCATGTGACATGATATGGATTTCTATAAGTTGTACTATATCTTTTAACACACTTTCAGAAGCTCATTCATGTTTATTTCGCGCTGAAACTGGTATTATTAAGGCGCAAGAGAAGATCACGTGTGATCTCACGCCACAGCACCAAAACGCTATTTATGTTTTTGAATTTCTTAAGAAAATGGACGTAATTTGAAATCTGAGACTTTGTTTCATATCAATAGTAACAAAGTACAAAGATTATTGTGATTTATTGGATGGGATGCGTGCTTCAATGCTCCATTCATTCATCAACTGGAAACAGGATGACTAACCTAAACGATTCTTGGCATATAAGAATCGATATCGGTTCGTAAAAATGAGAATGGATTAAAGGTGCTCTAAGAGATGTCGAGTGACGTCACAAATAAAACGGAGGCTAGCTAGACCCTCCCTCCTCCTCATCCGCGCACTTGTCTCTCCTCATACTTCCTGTCTCTATGAAGCCCCTCCTTCTGAAAGCACACTGTGCTCTGATTGGTCGGCTGGAGCAGTGTGTTGTGATTGGTCGAGCGCTTCGAGTGTGTTTGGGAAAGTCCCGCCCCTTTCCATAACCACCAGTTTAACACACTACTAACTAACTTAACCAGGCCCCGCCCCTTTATTCTGCGCATGAATTATTATAATGAGGAATATTGTGGCGTGTTCGTTCCCGGGAGAAACTCAAGACTACAATGGAGGCGTTTCAGGAGTTCAGAAACACTGTTACTGATATAGAGAAGAACTTCTTAATGCTCAAACAGCAACATTACACACTCAAGAAAGATGACCGTGGAGAAAAGCAGAACTGGTTATTTTGGTGAGTTCATCTAAAGCTTCTCTTCTCGTCCTAATCGACTCCAGAAGAGAGTTTATGTTCAGTGATCTCAAACGTTGACTTCAAAAAACATCATTTATGTGGATTCTCTTTAAACTTTTCCCTCAGGCAAGATAGATATGTAACTCGGCAAGCCCTCAGCACAGTCATTAAAGAAAGATGAACATGGAGAAAAAGCATAATAGTTGCTCTTTAAAGGGTTAGCTCACCCAAAAATGATGTCATTAATGACTCTCCCTCATGTCGCTCCAAGCCCGTCAGACCTCCGTTCATCTTCAGAACACAGTTTAAGATATTTTAGATTTAGTCAGTATACCGTACATACATTTCCAATGGAGGGACAGAAAGCTCTCGGACTAAATCTAAAATATCTTAAACTGTGTTCTGAAGATGAACGGAGGTCTGACGGGCTTGGAGCGACACGAGGGAGAGTCATTAATGACATCATTTTCATTTTTGGGTGAACTAACCCTTTAAGCGCGTGTGGTGCCGCACCTTTACAGTGGACCGCGATGGCGCCGTCAGCGCTCTCGCAGATGTTCAGGAACTTGGTGACGATGGCATCATTAGGCGTACTTCCATCCACAAAGAACAGGTCGTGGTGTTTGAAGCCCATGTCTGTGAAACGCTTGGCGTCGTACATTTTCTTGTTGAGCCGGATGATGTTGGTGATGTTGTGCTTCCTGAAGTACGGGAAATACGCCTCAGGGGCATGAAGAGGGTATCCTAGAGGAAAAGAGAACAAATGTATATAAATCTGTACATTCCAGATCAGTTTTAAACAGATTACTCAATCAGAATTAAAGTTTCCTGATAGTTTACTCTATCCAAGATGTTCAAGTCGGTCTTTCTTCAGTCGGATAAGAAATGAAGGTTTTTGAGGAACACACTCCAGGGTTTCTCCATATAGTGACTTCAATGGGGTCCAACGGGTCGAAGGTCCAGATGTGAGTTTCAGTGCAGCTTCAAAGTCTCGACACGATCCAGCCGAGGAATAAGAGTCTGATCTAGACAAACCAGCGCACATTTATAACAAAAACAACATTTATATACTTTTATAACCGCAAATGCTCGTTTAGGACGTCCACAATATCACGCATTACGCAATCAGGTTGAAAGGTCACGCGTGTTCCGGTTCAGAAATGTAGAATAGGGCGAAAAACTCATCTCATTTCATCCTTCAACTTCAAAAAATCGTTTATTTTTTGTAAATAGTGTTTGACAGTCTTTGTAAACACTGGGTCGGTTCTTACGCCTACGTCCCGCTTGACCTTTCACCCTGATTACGTAACGTGTGTCGCATCACAGCGAGTGCAAGACCAGCATCTGTGGTTGAAAAGTATATAAATGCAGTGTTTCCCTTAGGATTTTTTTTCAGGGGGGGGGGGGGGGGACTGCTAGTGTTGCGGAGCGGGCGTGTTACGGATACGTGGTGTAATTTGTTTTTTTGCAATTAATTGAAATCATCTATTATGAATCATTAAACTTTTTTTTTTATATATATGGAAAAAAAATTCACTAATTCTGTGGTGTTTTTTCTGGTAATAAAATGAAGACATAAAACACAAATTGTATCATTTATCATCAATTTTAATCATATGAAATTAAATAAACTTTTTGTCAAATAACTTGCTGCACAATGAGCTTTAGCCTACTGTTAAAATTAAAACAGATTATTCCTTAAAAATTTCAGTTTTGATGATAATTTATTTGGATGAGTGTTAGTGTATTATTACATTGGGACATATCTAAATTCTAATGTACAACAGTAATATATCTCTGTCAAGTTAAACCGAACTTTTATTTTGACGGGTTGCCGTGAAGGCCTTTTGAGGTTCTGTGTGTTTATGTCATGATGATAGTTTTTCCTCAAATGAAGCGGTGAAATGATCATGAAGTGACTTTCAGAGTGGATCTAGAGCCTGGAGAGGAAGTTTATGCGTTTGTGTCTTCATATAGGCCAAAAAACAGCGCAAGCGTCACACGTGCTTCAGTGTGTGTGTGTGTGTGTGTGGTAAATGAAACTGTGTGTCGGCGGCACCATTCATTCACACAGAACATGCAGGATTCGTATTTAAATAGTCTTTGTGTTTTAATATTCACACACACTAGTCTACATCGCGATTTTTATTTCAAGTGTACTGAACTGCTTTCTATTTTTCTCAAATTTACAAATTCCGTGAAATTCCGCGTTATACACTAAAATACTTTTTTATGACTGGATTTCATCAGCATTTTAGGGGGGGCGGGGGTCGTTTTGGGGGGGCGGGCCACCCCCCCAAAACAATGGTAGGGGAAACACTGAAATGTGTATTTTGTTGTAAATGTCGGCTGGTTTGTCTAGATCAGACTCTTATTCCTCGGCTGGATCGTGTCGAGACTTTGAAGCTGCACTGAAACTCACATCTGGACCTTCGACCCGTTGGACCCCATTGAAGTCACTATATGGAGAAATCCTGGAGTGTGTTCCTCAAAAACCTTAATTTCTTTTCCGACTGAAGAAAGAAAGACATGAACATCTTGGATGATGTGAAGGAGAGTAAATTATCAAGAAATTTTAACTCTGAACTGTAATAATCCTTTAAAGAATTGGTATAATGTGAGAACAAGCGAATCCATACACACCATTCTCAATTTTACTCTTTGGATGAGGGCCGCTGAAAGCCAAAAACTTCCCTGGAATGATCCAGTTAAAATCTCCATTTTCTGCCCGCTGGAAAAAATATTAAAGTCACCATGAAATCAAAATGCACATAATTGTTCTTTTTTTGCACTGTAATCAGAACAACTCCCTCTTGCAGCATCTCTTCTCTGATCATGTGGGCGGGGCTATAACCTGTCACTCACATGAGAACAACCAGTAGCAAACCACACCCATCCAATCAATTCCACACATACAAAATCAAGCCCCGCCCACATTTGTTCTTGTTCCAGAAGCGTTTCACTTTAAAGACGCATCAAATCTGAAGCGTGAGATTTAACTTTACTCTTTAATATCAGTGGAAACTCACCTCATAATGCTCATATTCCTCCACATTAAACTGGGAGAAATCCAGCCAGCCGAACTGCAGAGCCTGAAACACAAAGCATGCGATCAGCAGGAATAGTGACCATGTCTGATGAAGCTGCAGGATCTGGATTACCTTGTGAACGCCAAGTAGACAGTCGAGAATATTCAGATTGTACATGCAAGTTCCAAAAGACGCATCTCTGTTGAATGTAACGGAAAATGAAGTCAGAGATTAATAAGATTTACTATTTCTACTGCTTTTTAAATAGGCCATTTTTATTTTTCCTGAGGTCCACATGCAACTTGGGCCTCGTTTACACGGTCAGTGAAATGTGACCCAATTCCAATTTTTTGCTCATATGTGACACAGATCGGATGTGTTCTATGACAATGTAAACAGGAAAAAAACGCATGCATTCGGATATTTCAAGAGATGCACCGATTGATCGGCTGGTGACCGGAATCGGCCGATTTTCACGTGATCGGCGACCGGTCGGTCAGCCTGACAATAATCCGATTTTATGCCGGTCAAAACGCGCGTTTTTTTTTTTTGTTCGGCGTGCATGTTAATCAATGAGTGCATTCACACCAGGAGCCGGAGCAGCGCGATAGCGTCGAGCAGGAGCGTCGCATAAGCAACAGTGAAGCGCGGGTTTCGGCGGCGAGTCTATTCTGCTGCGCTCAATTTAAGTGAAAGCACACTTTTGATGGACAAAATATGATTTCATCCAAAAAGTGCCCAAAATGCACAGAATTTGCATGTGTGGTGCGTTTTAACAAGAACCGAAGTAGGCTAGGCTATGTCAGAAAAGAAAATGAAGACTCAAAGATATTTATAGAAAATGTACCCATTTAAACTTGTTTTTATTATTTCCCAATCGTTCCCCTGCACATGCTCCACCTGTCCTGTTTAGCTTGGCTGGACATGTGTCAGACGAGAGAAGAACTGTTTGAGAAATATAACTTGCCATTGATGTACAAGTGATTGCAATAGGCCTGTGTGTGTGTGTGTGTGTGTGTGTGTGTGTGAGAGAGAGAGAAATATCTTTATACTGCAAGGGTATATTTATATATAATTTTATTGCATTACCTGTTTTCATACAGAAGTTTAGTTTGCTAAATATATCTATTTTTTTTAGTTGGATATTTGATGTGAAAAGGAAATGGTTCTTCCATAACACTGCACTTTAGATGTGTGTGAATTTCACATCTCCCACTCAGGAGTAATTTATATAGTTCTATTTTATAGTGATTATCTGTTCAAAAAATGTTCTATTAATGAGAAGATAGAAAATAAATATTTGTGTGTGCTGTAGTGGTTTGAAAAAATGAAATCGGCTAAAATCGGCAGGTCAAACTCAAGGAAAAATCGGAAATCGGGATGGGCCTAGAAAATTGTAATCGGTGCATCTCTAATATGTGGAAATAAATCGGATATAAATCAGATATGTGCCAATGCGACTCATGTAAACAGGCAGAACTTTGCATTTATCACAAAGCTAGCATTAAGCATATTTCGCGTTCGTCCATCTGTGAAAGAACGCCCTTTAAGCATGCGCGATGTTTCAGATAGTAGGCCTGTATGTCAAGTGTAAACACAGGGTTCCTGCACACTTTTGAAAGTCAAATTTAAGAGACAGTTATGCTGCCGCGACTCGCGAGTGACGCGAAATGTCACGTGAACTAGCAAATCCACAAACATAGAATAATAAATAAATAAAAATACGTACGCTAATTAGATAGTTTTAATTTGGAAAGCTTTTAGATATTGTCTAAGTCAAAGTGTCATCTAAAATTTAAGACCTTTCATAAGTAAAAATAAGACTTAAGACTTTTTATGGTCTTAAATTTTAAAAATCTAATTTAAGACTTTTTAAGACTTTTTAAGGATCAGCGGGAACCCTGAAACACATGAATCAGATATGGGTCACAATTGAAAGAACGTGTAAACGGATGGTCAAAAAAATGAGAATTGGGCATCAAGACCTGCAGTGTAAACGAGGCCAGAAAACTTGATACCTCATAATAACATGCATTTTCTAGAATATTATAGGGGATAAATTTAAATTATTACCGAAAAGGAAGATACGATGCATTTTGAGAGACAAGAAGGCTGTACGCTTCTTCTGGTGTTTTCTGTAGATGCATTACCTGAAAAAAAAAAAGGACAAACAATATTGAGCCTTCAACATCTGGAAAAACTATAAGCACAGTTTACATGTTATAAATATGTTTGAGCATTTCATCAGATTGCACTTCCCTAAAAGGCAAAATAAACAGTAAATATAAAGTTGGACTGGGAAACTCACAGCATAAGAGCCGATCAAATACGCAGCATTGGCTTGTTTTTTTCTGTCCCCACAGGTATAAAACACAATTTTCTTCTTTGCATGAACACAAGACTGTTGGATTAGAAAAGCACATATTCTAAAGCAAACCTTTGAAATGATTCAAACATTGCATGCTTACTTACATGGAAAGACTGTGTTTAGTAGAACAGTGCAACGTTGCATTTATGTGCCAGTATAATGAAGCGTCATCATTACCTTCAGCTTCTTGTTCAGCTTGCAGCAGAAGCGATAAAACATGGCCAGGTTGAGCGGGCCAAAGTCCGCATAGAAGCTGTTCAAATATAACAATCAAAGAGGTCAATGATAAAGATCTGGTGCAATGCACTAGAAACTATACAGGCTATTCTAACGGAGAGAAACGCAACAAAAATATGTTTTTTGTCTTGATTATGGGATAGTGTGAGTTTTTCTTTCCATTGTTGTAGTACACAAAAAAAGTTTACATGCATGCATGAATAAATACATACACGTGCATTAATGCATCCATATACAGGTGAAACTCGGAAAATTAGAATATGGTGCAAAAGTTCATTTATTTCAGTAATTCAACTTAAAAGGTGAAACTAATATATTATATAGACTCATAACATGCAAAGTGAGATATTTCAAGCCTTTATTTGTTATAATTGTGATGATTATGACTTACAGATATGAAAACCCCAAAGTCAAAATTAGAATATTGTGAAAAGGTTTTCATATCTGTAAGCCATAATCATCACAATTATAACAAATAAAGGCTTGAAATATCTCACTTTGCATGTAATGAGTCTATATAATATATTAGTTTCACCTTTTAAGTTGAATTAGTGAAGTAAATGAACTTTTGCACCATATTCTAATCTTTCAAGTTTCACCTGTACATGCATATATTTGTAAATTGATGCATGTATGAATGCATTTATTCACGCATGCATAAATGTAGTCATGCATGCATACATAAGTTTACAAAATCTTTTTAAAAAAGGGTCATTGTACGACATAGTGAAAATATGGAGGAAAAAACAGCTTCATTTTATTCAAACTGAGCAAAAATATCTACAGCAGATACTTTCATAAAATGCATATAAATATCAATATCTGTAAATAATATGTCTTATCAAGATTATACTTAAATGCTTAGCTTCATAATCAAAGCTCTGTAGTTTTAAAACATATAATGCAATGATTAAGAGATGAACATATAAACCTTCCTCAAAAGCCTGACGATCATTTTTGATACTCAGCAAAAAGACCTCGAGTAGATCGATTTTGATCACGTAAGAGGCCTTATCACTTATCAAATATGATAATGTAGCATTACGTGTATTAGAAAGTCCCTAATAATGAGCCATAGACTGTGTTTTAAAGGTAAACCTCTCTTACTTCTCATAGGAGAGCTCTTCATCTATGCAGAAACAGTGTCTGTCAGGAGAGCTCTTCACCTTCTGATGAAGAAGAGCAAAATACAGCTGATCTGAAAAACACAAAGTGCACATGATGAAGGAAACCAAACTATTCTGTAATCTGATGCATTTTTCCACGCGGTCCATGAATGTAAACACATCTGACTGAACCTTATTGGTCCGAGAGATTTGAATCCGAGTCCCGGAAGTGAGTTAAAAGACAAACACAGATTGATCCGGACCACGAAACTAAAGGACATTTAAACACAAAAAGAAATACGAGCATCACCTTTAATGACCTCGATGCAGTTTGACAGATCGCAGGTTTCTATGAAAACGTTGTTCCGGTGCATTTTAATTTTAATCTTGGTTTAGTTTAATCTAATTCCAAACTACATTTACACATACAACCAAAATAGTCAAATTTTCGTCGACACTTTATGAAGAAATCGAGTGTGTCATAGACGATTATGCGACAAGAAGGTAAAAATACTTAATGTTTACGCGTTGAACTTGAATTAAAAACTAAGAGAAATCAAAACAATATATCCGCTTTGACTCTATATAAATGTAAATAACGTTACACAGCACTAGCGATCTTTCTCTCTTGCTCCTGAAGTCCGAATAAAGTTCAATGCCGTTTAAAAGCCAAGTTAAAAGCTTTTCCGGCACCTGATTGGTTCACAATCGCACATTTGACACGTCAATCACAACTAAGACCCTCCTTTCAGAATTTAAACGGTAGAGCGAGGCGCCGATTGGTCAAAAGAAACTATTTTTAGGATTGTCCGCAGTGTGTTTCTTTGTTTAAAAACACATTTCCCCTCATTTTCATGACTGTAACGTAAACCAAAAACTTAAATTGTAAAGTAATCACGCACATTTGTTGTATAGTCTATCATTTATGCAGATTAAAAAAACTTTTCCGGTACCTGATTGGTTCACGGGCGTACCACTGACACGTCAATCACATTAGGGCCCTCCCTTCACAGAATTTAAACTAAACAGCAGGGAGTATTCGACTCTGATTGGAACGCTGCCCAAGCCGTTGCTAGGAGAGAAGCGTCGATTGGCCAATAGGATTTCATTTTTTCCCCTTTGATTCACTATTTATTACACTCATTTTCAGTGATTTACATTCAGCGAACAGAACAAAGAAGATAATTCAGCCATTGAACAGGCCAAATTAGTAGTTAATAGTGATGTTTTAATTACTCTCATATATAACCAGCGTTAATCTCCATATAAACAGCAGTTTAAGTCTGATGTGATCGCATGTTTCGGTGCCAAAAAGCTCCAAATTAACCCCTGACAGGGATTATAACACACTACTTTATGACCCCGATGTTGGTTCTACTTTATGAGATCATTATGGCAGCGTCTGTGGTTTGTTTACCTGTGATATGAACGTAAATCTCGCTCTTGGACTCCGTCTGGCCGCTCAGAGAAGCGCAGAGTCTTTTCCTCGACTCGCTCCGTCGCTCGCTCTTGCGCTTCATACTTCTCTAGGCATGCAAAGATGGCGTTTCAAACGGGAATGTGCGATGAAAATGCGTTATTTTGCATAGTCCAGCTTGTAACAGCTCCATGCGCTGCAGACCGAAGTATTTTTGAGCCAGTTGTCCTGCGAGTGACGTATGGCAGGCAAGTTTCTAAAAGCCTTGCGAGTGACGTCACTGCGCCACCATCCTGCTGCCCAACATACGGGCACTGACAGAACTTTAACCCGTCACGGAACACGACACAAACATTGGGTGTTTTAGGATTGTTTGTATTGTGTTTTTATGATTTCATCTAATTCTCATAACTGTAATGTAAAAAAAAACTACATTTAAAATGAGTTGTATCCTAAAATGGTTAGAAAACGAAAGCCATATGTCTAAACAAGTTGTGTTCCTAATCTAAAGTGCAAAAATTGAAACGCTAAAAGGTAACAGTTACGCGTTCGAATGATGCCTAATTTATGATGATTACTAAAATGTGATAGGGGGAAAAGAGCATTAAAAACCCTTACTGGGACACTGACAGTTAACAGACTAAATTGTTAAGAATGTGTGCATAATGGAAATGTTGTATTAGTCTGTAATCTATGCAAATTTAATTTTCTTTATGTCTTATGTCAAATATCTTATCTTTTGAGTTTGGAGGTGAAACTTAAACTGGACATATATGGATCTGGATATAAATGTATATACATACATACATGCAGATAGTGAAAGAATAGATGTATAGCTGCTTCTGCATACATGCATTCATACATTAATGCATACATTCAAACAAATTCATGCATACATTCAAACATGCATACCGGTACATACAAACATGCATACATACATTCATACATGCATTCATACATGCATACATTCAAACCGGTACATACAAACATGCATAGTATACATTCTTACATGCATGCATTAACATACATTCATACATGAATAAATACATACATACATACAAGCATAAATACAAACATGCATGCACACATACATGCACGCATATATACAAACATGGAGATAGGGGCGGCGCAAAATTTAGTATTGTGGGTTTGGTAAGGGCTGACTTGTGGAAGAGATTGAGAGAAAAGGGGAGTGATGATGAGGATGCACACTCAGACTTGAGTGAAACGACACCAGGATTGCTGCAGCGGACTGGTGTAAAGTACACCAGTGTAAGAATAGGTGTATATCTGCTTCACTCCAGTAGGGGTGAAAAGATGCCAAAGACGGTATATTTTAGCTTACTTCACTCCATTAGGGGTGGAAAGACAAGAAGCCAGGGGTTGCTATAGTGTAAATCACAAACTGAGGACCTCAAACTCTACCATGCATTATATTTCTATTAGTTAAATAAGACACGTTCTTCTTTTCTGTGAATGTGCACATGCATATTTTATTGATGTTTATTGTATTGCATTTTATTATCTTATTTCTACATGTGTATATGTTTTTTTCTGTGAATTTCTGTTCTGTAAAGCACTGTTATTAAAATAAAATAAAGCTTTACTAGCATGCATATACAGTATATAATTTATTTATTTATTGAAATTCAAGACATAATATAAAACAAATGGTAATTTAGGACAGAGATAAAATCAACGGTCCTCAGCAGTGAAATGGCTTGTTCTTATCCAACATAAATATAATATAAAAACAATATTATACAACGATATTGAGCTATTATAGTTCAAACATAGACCTGTTGCAGTATAACAGCTACAAGCATAGAGTGCAGATCTATCATGATTTTTTTTTTTTTTTTAGATATCAATGATTTTAGGGCAATCACTGAAGTCCAATGTGTGAAGACCTGCTAACTGAAGCAACCAGTTGATCGGCATGTGGTCTAACCGATTCATGTCAAAATGGGCAAAATGAACCTCTGGACCTGTGAAATAAAACAATAAATATTAAGATATGGTGAAGATATAGAAATGACAGCATTTTATTTAGAAAACTCGTCACCTGGGCCTACAATAAGGGCTCCACCTTGCTGCAACGGATCTCCTTGGAAGTCAAAAGCAGGGCTGGTCATGGCGCGCCACATACTTCTCAGACTGCCAATGAGTAGACTGGACTTCACATGTGGACTGTTGGAAGCTACAAATGCAGAACATTTGCGAATAAAGCAGCGTTTCCATTCCATGTGTTCAAGAGAACAAAATCATCACTTCCTGGGAAATTGGTGCAAAATACTGTATCTGTATCAATTTTTCTTTTTTATGCGTGCATGCATGTATGTGTGCATGCATGTTTGTATTTATGTATGTATACATGCATGTATGAATGTATGTATTTATGCATGTATGAGTGTATGTATTTATGCATGTATGAGTGTATGTATTTATGCATGTGTGAGTGTATGTATTTATGCATGTATGCGTGCATGTAGTTATGCATGTATGAGTGCATGTATATGCATGTATGTGTGCATGCATGTTTGTATTTATGTATGTATACATGCATGTATGAATGTATGTATTTATGCATGTATGAGTGCATGTATTTATGCATGTATGAGTGTATGTATTTATGCATGTATGCGTGCATGTATTTATGCATGTATGAGTGTATGTATTTATGCATGTATGCGTGCATGCATGTATGTGTGCATGCATGTTTGTATTTATGTATGTATACATGCATGTATGAATGTATGTATTTATGCATGTATGAGTGTATGTATTTATGCATGTATGAGTGCATGCATGTATGTGTGCATGCATGTTTGTATTTATGTATGTATACATGCATGTATGAATGTATGTATTTATGCATGTATGAGTGTATGTATTTATGCATGTATGCGTGCATGTATGTATGTGTGCATGCATGTTTGTATTTATGTATGTATACATGCATGTATGAATGTATGTATTTATGCATGTATGAGTGTATGTATTTATGCATGTATGCGTGCATGCATGTATGTGTGCATGCATGTTTGTATTTATGTATGTATACATGCATGTATGAATGTATGTATTTATGCATGTATGAGTGTATGTATTTATGCATGTATGAGTGCATGCATGTATGTGTGCATGCATGTTTGTATTTATGTATGTATACATGCATGTATGAATGTATGTATTTATGCATGTATGCGTGCATGTATGTATGTGTGCATGCATGTTTGTATTTATGTATGTATACATGCATGTATGAATGTATGTATTTATGCATGTATGAGTGCATGTATTTATGCATGTATGCGTGCATGCATGTTTGTATTTATGTATGTATTATGCATGTATGAATGTATGTATTTATGCATGTATGAGTGTATGTATTTATGCATGTATGAGTGTATGTATTTTTGCATGTATGAGTGTATGTATATGCATGTATGTTTGAATGTATGCATGCATGTTTGAATGCATTAATTTATCTTTTTCCCTCCATCATAAACGAGTGTCTCAGAGCGTCAGACGAAACACAATAAACGCTGTCATGTTCTCTTGCGTTCGGATGCTGGTGTTCAGGAACACACTCGTGTGTGTGAGACGCTTCTGAAGGGAATTAAACCAAATCATTCTGATCACACACTTCGACTCCGGCGTTGCAGAAACACCAAACCAACAATAGAGACGCTGCGACGCCATTGGTCCGCTGGTTACTCCAGTTATCCAATCACAGCTGAGGTTTTTGATGGATTTATTTAGTAAACGTGTTTCCATCATAGTTTATCCGCATGTCTTCTTATCGGATGAAACTATAATCCACCTCAAGACGTTTTTTAATGCACTTTTTAAAAAAAATGTATGCGCATCTTGTTTCCATCCAGCGATATGCCACAAATGTGTGTAAAAATAAGTAGATGGAAACATACCTACTGATTAACATAAATGCACATTTGATCAAACCAATCATTCTTTGGCATGCTAATCTAATAGAAAGCAGGAGGAATGTACAAAATGTGCATTAGAGGAGAGAAAAAAAGGCATGTTATGTATAAAAACTAAAATTTGTTAGTGAAATCCCAATGCATGTATGAAATACATGGCTCTAAAATCAAGCTTCGGTGGATCTTACGTGTCTCCATGTATGTCTCTCCTCTTCTCAGTCCAAGTTTCTTATAAATCTGTCTCTCTGGATCAACATATATTTCATGAGGATAGCCTGTCAGAGAGCAGAACCCCTACGACAGAAAGAGATTACCAGATATTTAACAGTTTTAAAGTGTAATGATTTTGTGTCGTCATAAAAAACTAAAACAATAATTATAAATGTACTCAAGGCTAGAAGGAGGGAGTTGTGAATCAAACTAATGCATTGGTTTACTTTAGATGACTATTAAAGGTGCTAACTACTTGACACTCTGTTGCATGTTATATTTATGAATTTATAAATTATTTTCAACAACAGAATGTTCTAAAAGTCGCTCATATTTTTAGCTTAACATTAATAAACACATCCTACCTCGATATGAGAACACGACGACTGTCCAATCACTACCAATCTGACATTCGATTCCTACATTTGAAGGAGAGAAAATACATTGTTTTGGTAACACTTTACACTAAGGTTCATTAGTTAATGTATTACTTAACATGAACTAACAATGAGCAATACATTTTGCAATACACCTTTGTTAATGTTAGTTAATGAAAATACAGCTTTTCAATGCTCGTTCACAGTGCATTAACTAATGTTAACAAATACAACCTTTGATTTTAATAACGTATTAGTAAATGTTGAAATGATTATTAAATACGATTAATAAATGCTGTAGTATTGTGCATTCTTAGTTCATGTTAGTTACATAATAAACCTTATTGTAAAGTGTTACCATTATATTCTGACCCAAATAATACATGATTATTGACACATAATTGATCAAAACAAAGCAGAAGTGCTGTAATATAGCGTTGAAGAATCTTCCTCACCTGTAACATATGCTGAGGTATTTTCCCCAAATCCTCCACATATTCTTTGCATGTGTAACACAAGAAGTTCTGCAACATTTTTGAGAAGCACAATCAGAATGACATTTGCACACAACATAAACATAAACATAAACACCCCCAGCTGTCATGAGTTTCTTACCCGCACGAAAACGATGATTGCTTTACTGTGTTGATGCAAACTGCTAAAGGTTTTACACACACCGTGTCGATCATAAATCCAGCAGTCGCTGACAGCAGACACACACAGATCGTGTGGATCCCTTGTGCTGTTCTCCTGGTGTCCAGCGCGAGCGATCTGACCCTGTTGAGTTATCGGGAAAACGGCAGCCATTTTCGGGGAAGTTTGCTTCGCCACGCCCATTCCTGCTGGATCATGTAAATAAAGGCAACCCGCCCATATACACTAATTTATGACATTATTTCTGGTTCAGTGTTGGGGAAAGTTACTTTTAAATGCAATGCATTACAATATCGTGTTACTCCCTAAAAAGTAGCCGAACTAATTCCCTTACTCACTTGTTTAAAAAAAATGCAACTCAGATATTTTGTTGTAAATTTAAAAATAATGCATTACTTTAGTCACTTGGAAAAGCAGTCTGATTACGTAACTCGCGTTATGTAACCCTAAACACTCAATTATTCCCATTCCAAATATTTTAGCGGAATAGTAAGCTTGTTTCCACCAGAATAAAACATTTTAAAAGATAATTGCAACTTTTTATCTCATAATTGCATAGGGCCTACATCTTTCAATTCTGAACTTTTATTCTCGCAATTGTGTTTATATCTTGCAATTCTGACTTATAACATGCAATTGTGAGTTTATATCTCGCAATTCTGACTTATAACATGCAATTGTGAGTTTATATCTTGCAATTCTGACTTATAATATGCAATTGTGAGTTTATATCTCGCAATTCTGACTTATAATATGCAATTGTGAGTTTACACTCGCAATTCTGACTTATAATATGCAATTGTGAGTTTATATCTCGCAATTCTGACTTATAACATGCAATTGTGAGTTTACATCTTTCAATTCTGACTTTTTATCTCACAATTGCAAGTTTACATCTTTCAATTCTGACTTTTTTTCTCGTAATTGCGAGTTTATATCTCGCAATTCTGACTTATAATATGCAATTGTGAGTTTATCTTGCTATTCGGATATCTTCTTTTCTAATCTTTTTTTCTTTGCAATTGCGAGTTATAAAGTCCAATTCTAAGGGGAAAAAATGATCACTTTATATCACAGAATCAAAAAGAATCAATATCACAATTTTACCTTTATAACACGCAATTGCAAATTTATACCATGCAATTCGGACTTTATATTTAGTTGATGCCTTTTAAAACTGCGAATTGGTAACAATATATTGGGAATCATCATCATTATTATTCATGCATGGACACCGGTAACAATGATCAAATTTCATCTTTATGTGTGAGTGAGTGACGAATAAAAGAACTGTATATGGCTCATTAAAATCGAATCATCTGAACCGATTCGTTGAGCATCCCAACTCCGCATCAGTGACGTCACGAGGTGTGGATTATTTGTACAGTATGAAAGGAAATAAATAGCATTCTTAGAAGCCTAAATCATAACAACAAGACGAAAAGTCAAAATTATGACATTAACAGTCGAAATTACGAAATAACATGACTTGCAATGTCATAATTTCTCATAATTACTTTTGATCTCATAATTATGCCCTTTTAGATCATAATTTCGATTTAGTATGTCATAATTACAACGTTTTGTGTCATATTTTCGACATAGCATGTCATAATAATTTTGACTTTAATCTTATAATTATAATTTACCATGTCATAATTTATATTTTTATTCTATAATTATTATTTACCAGACCTTATGTGGCGGAAATTGACTTCCATAGGGGATAGATGAATAAAAACCTGTTTGCGAAAGTTTACTTTTATGTTGATATTATTACTAAAAAAGTAACATGATATCGAATACACCCTGTCAAAGTACAAATATTTACATTAAGTGTTCATTTGCAAGTTTGCAAGTGTTAGTATTAAACGAGTTCCCTTTAAAGCACGGATGGTGATTGGCCCTCCGCTTCTAACTGACGTTTCGCCTGGCGAATGAACAGCCACTCTCATCTCGAGCTGTGGGCGGGATTTCCTCTGTTATTTGAAATCCGGAAGTGTTTTGAAACATTCTAGCAGGTTGACACAGCAAGCGCGCGTTTGCGGTGCGTTCGCTACGCTTCTGTTTCGGTTTCGCGCGGATTATGAGAGCGCGGGAAGGAGGTGCTGAGGGTCGCGCGAGCTGGTGAGGTTTGGCGCGTTTTATTATGGCAGTTATTCAGTCTTGGTTGTTTTCTCATGAGGGAGTTCAATGGCGTCGTCCTCCACTATCACTCAATGAAACACAACAACACCCGGTCAGCAGCTCCACACAGCCGTGTGTAAACAGTGACATTCATTTGCGAATGTTTATATGGTCCCTGCTGAGACATAACACACATTATACCAGATATCTGAAAATATGCTGGTCTATATACTCATTATCCATACAAAAAGTACTAGGTTATGGTATAGATGACACTGGTGTTCTGGGTATTTACATTTGTTTTAAACCCAATGGTACTATCATCTTGGTATTGTGCCTATAAAACAATAGTAGATGGACAGACACATAAAGCATTGACCTTCCTCTTCCTCATCTGTGTGTTTGCAAGGTATTCAGTGACTTCTGTGTGTGTGTTTCCTTGTTTCTGTATCTAGTGCAAATATGAAAAATGTGTTTGAAAGGATTTTCATGTTCTGTCAGGATCAATCTAGGACGTAAACCCCATTGCAACAGACATAAACATTACTTTGATAAGACTTAGTTTGTTTACATGTAAGAGTCAAAATCTTGTTTTCAGTGTTTATTTAGTTCTGAGGTAAATGCGAACTGCAGAAATCTGATTGAGGAAGCATCACTGATCTAGATTGGAAGCAATAATGAATTTGTCAATTTTTTCTGTCATTTGAGCTGCAAAAATGACTGTAGCCAAACATGTTTCCCAAACACTCCTCCTGTCTGTTATTGGTCGCTCAAACACATAAGCCACACCCCAAACTCGCTCCATTGGTTGATTGAGTCAGAAGTTGACAAGTGCTGCTGATCAATGTGCTGTTATTTCATAATTCAGTGTTCACATCTAGTCATAATTATGAGATAATTCTGTCATTCATATCCTCTCACATTATAGTTATTATCTGCTTTTGCAAAATACAGAAGACCCAAGAAAGTCAGAAAAAAACTGGCTTAAATAAATCTTTTACTTTTCAAGCCACTGGCATTTGACTTGATTTTAATGAGTCGAGTCACTTTTAGTGCTTTATATATTTGATTTCATTTATTATATTTGGTGTTGTACTTATGATATTATGTTGTTAAATGTTTAAGGTGTATCTGCCATGTAATAGCCGGTGATGCTGATATGGCAATAAACTCAAATACTACTAAATCAATTATGAATTGAGTTCAATTGAGCTGTAAAGCAGCTCTACAGAAGATAATAAATGTTTTTTGCACTTCTTCTCTTTATGCAAGTAATTTTTCTTGAACTCAAATACTACATCAATTAAGAAGCGAGTTCAATTCTCACATTACACTCACCTAAAGGATTATTAGGAACACCATACTAATATTGTGTTTGACCCTCTTTCACCTTCAGAACTGCCTTAATTCTACGTGGCATTGATTCAACAAGGTGCTGAAAGCATTTTTTAGAAATGTTGGCCCATATTGATAGGATAGCATCTTGCAGTTGATGGAGATTTGTGGGATGCACATCCAGGGCACGAAGCTCCCGTTCCACCACATCCCAAAGATGCTCTATTGGGTTGAGATCTGGTGACTGTGGGGGCCATTTTAGTACAGTGAACTCATTGTCATGTTCAAGAAACCAATTTGAAATGATTCGAGCTTTGTGACATGGTGCATTATCCTGCTGGAAGTAGCCATCAGAGGATGGGTACATGGTGGCCATAAAGGGATGCACATGGTCAGAAACAATGCTCAGGTAGGCCGTGGCATTTAAACGATGCCCAATTGGCACTAAGGGGCCTAAAGTGTGCCAAGAAAACATCCCCCACACCATTACACCACCACCACCAGCCTGCACAGTGGTAACAAGGCATGATGGATCCATGTTCTCATTCTGTTTACGCCAAATTCTGACTCTAACATCTGAATGTCTCAACAGAAATCGAGACTCATCAGACTAGGCAACATTATTTCAGTCTTCAACTGTCCAATTTTGGTGAGCTCTTGCAAATTGTAGCCTCTTTTTTCTATTTGTAGTGGAGATGAGTGGTACCCGGTGGGGTCTTCTGCTGTTGTAGCCCATCCACCTCAAGGTTGTGCGTGTTGTGGCTTCACAAATGCTTTGCTGCATACCTCGGTTGTAACGAGTGGTTATTTCAGTCAAAGTTGCTCTTCTATCAGCTTGAATCAGTCGGCCCATTCTCCTCTGACCTCCAGCATCAACAAGGCATTTTCTTCCACAGGACTGCCGCATACTGGATGTTTTTCCCTTTTCACACCATTCTTTGTAAACCCTAGAAATGGTTGTGCGTGAAAATCCCAGTAACTGGGCAGATTGTGAAATACTCAGACCGGCCCGTCTGGCACCAACAACCATGCCACGCTCAAAATTGCTTAAATCACCTTTCTTTCCCATTCTGACATTCAGTTTGGAGTTCAGGAGATTTGCTGCGTCCCAATTCGCCTACTTATACTACGCCCTAAAAGTATGTACTCTTTTTGTGAAGAAAAAGTACATACTTTTGAGTGTGTAGCAAAAGAGTAGGCAAGCTTTGGGACATACTACTTTGTCATCTTTAACGGACAGATCTGATCGCGTGCATCCTGTCAGACCGTAAACTGCCCTGTCAATCATCTCGTCACAGTTAAAATCCTGAATTTATATATATATTCCATAAAAGTGCATCCATCCATGATAAAAGTGCATTTATCCATCATAAAAGTGTATTTATCCATCATAAAAAACTAGATTTTTTTTAAGCAAGTATTTTATTTGATAAAGTATAAATTCAAGTATAAATTCAATAATAAATTCAAACTCTCTCTTGAATTTAGACTCGATCGACGTGTAATTTCTCTCTCTCTCTCTCTCTCTCTCTCTCTCTCTCTCTCTCTCTCTCTTGAATCTAGAGTCGATCGACGTGAATCATCATCATCTATATGGGCCATCTTTTCTCCAAAAATGGTTACAGCCTGAAGAAGAAAACACGGAAGCTGCGCAAGAAGAAGCGGCGGAGGAACTGCTTCCTTCAGGGTCCCTGCATGCTGTGCTTCATCGTCCACGGCC